CTAAACAAGCAGATATATATAATTTGACACTATCGATAGTTCACCTGTCGATGGTAAAGATTAATCCGCCTGGAGCGGCGCCAGTTGGAAAATACCATCTCTATTCTTCTTTTACGTATGAAGAGTTTGTAGGCGTCGCGACTCGTCCATTCTCCAGATACCGATTGCGGTCCATCGACGGAGATACAGTATTATTACGTCGCGGGGAATGAACGACTTTAGTACGCGGTTCTAAGACGAAGGATGGATTCACAACCTACTTACGCGCTGGTTCTAAGTCGCAGGACGGATCACGACCTTGCTACACGGTTCTAAGTTTCAGAATCGACTAGCGATCTCCAGTATCCGTTCTCAGGACGTACGATGAATTCGGAACCTTTAACATGCGGTTCTAGACCGCCATAGCGATTTTAACACCCGGTCCTTTTCGTCGATGCCGTCCTACCATGCTAGTCACTTCCGTCTCTGCATCCGGCCTTTCATCCAGCCGTCCCAATCGCCGATTTCGCATGCCGGTCGTCAGCTTTCGCTGCCGTTTGCCAAGTTCTGGCCTTTGCCGAGTGTCGCTGCAGTGAACTCGCTGCGGTCGAGTTTCGTTGCCGGTCGCCAAGTTCGCTCCTGTCGTTCGCCCTATTTCGTTGCAATTCGCCATGTTCCGCTACCTTTTGCCGACGGTCGGAGCCGTTCGCCGAGTGTTGCAGCCATTCGCAGCGCTGTGTCCGTTCGCCGAGTGTCGCTACCTTTGCGCTGCTACCGTTCGCCGGGTGTCGCAGCCTTTCGCAGCGCTGCTGCCATTCGCCGAGTCTTCCTGGCGTTCGTCGACTTCCTAGCTTTTGCTGATGTGCGCCGAGTTTGTCTTCCGCCGGTATCGCCGTCTTTCGCTGTCGTTCGCGAGCTTTGCTTCGATGAAAAACGCCAAGGATATAGAAGGTAGGCGGAACGCAGAGCATTGCGACAGAGCGGTCGACTTCAGAGCAGCTGTGTGTGTACGAGCAGTGACGCAGATCTACTCCAGCAGCAGTGGTAAGCGCGGATTCGGAGCAGCGCGGATTCGGAGCAGCGCGGATTCGGAGCAGCGCGGATTCGGAGCAGCTCGGATTCGGAGCAGCTCGGATTCGGAGCAGCTCGGATTCGAAACACCAGCAGCGTGGATTCGAAAGGGTGCGTGTGCGTGGAAAGCAATTGGGGGGTCGAGCAGTCTAGGTCGCCGCGCGGCAAGTCTTAGAATCATTCTTTGTTTCTTTCGAGTCCGTTTCCTTTGCTGCTTCTGACGCTCTCTCCTTTGTGCTTGTTCCTGTGATGTGTATTGCGAGGAGGAACGCGGATTGCGAGGAGAAACGCGCATTGTGCGAGGAGAACGAGGAGGGTCAGACGAACGACATCTGAGCAGCAGCAGCAGCAGCAACAAGGAACAGGGGGGAGAAAGCGGGAGGCGGAAGAGGGACTGTGTTACTGTGCAGTAAGGTAAGCTCTTGACTAAATCTATTGGGGGGGCTTAAACAGTCTAGGTCGCCGCGCGGCAAGTCTTAGAATCAAAATTGTGTTTCTTTCGAGTCCGTTTCCTCTGCTGCTTCTGACTCTCTCTCCTCTCTGCTTGTTCCTGTGCTGTGTATGCGAGGAGAAACGCGGATTGCGCGGAAAACGAGGAGGGTCAGACGAACGTCATCAGAGCAGCAGCAGCAGCAACCACAAGGATACAGGGGGGAGAAAGCGGGAGGCGGAAGAAGGAATGTGTTACTGTGCAGCACGGTAAGCTCTTGGCTTAATCTATTGGGGGGGGGTCGAACAGTCTAGGTCGCCGCGCGGCAAGTCTTGAATCAATTTTTGTTTCTTCCGAGTCCGTTTCCTCTGCTGCTTCTGACGCTCTTTCCTCTGTGCGTGTTCCTGTGCTGTGTATTGCGAGGAAAAACGCGGATTGCGAGGAGGAACGCAGAAAGCGCGGAGAAACAGGGATTGCGCGGGGAAACGCGGGTTGCGCGGAGAAGCCGCGGATTGCCGGCAGAACGCGGATCGTGCGGCGCAGGTTGCGAGGAGAAACGCGCATTTCGCGGACAGTGGGTGGTATCGGCAGCAACAGCGCGGATTCGAAGCACACTGGCAACAGAGCAGCTTTGACAAGGTGCGTGTGCGTGGCACGCAAGTGGGGGCCGCGTAGGACGTAGGAGTCCGCCGCGTAGGTGTCTTGAGTCCGCTATTCCTGCTGTCCAGCGTCTTTTCTCCCAAAGATCTAGGTCTAACCCACGTGTGTGTTCTCCCTCTGCTGTTGCACGTGTGGGGTGGGGAGGAGGAGGAGCACAGGTGAGGAGCCACGACGCGAACAACCTCCGAGCAGCAGCACTAGCAACAACAGGGATACAGGGGGGAGAAAGCGGGAGGCGGACTTGGGGACTGTGTTACTGTGCAGTACGGTAAGCTCTTGACCGAGTCTATTGGGGGGGTGTCGATCAGTCTAGGTCGCCACGCGGCAAGTCTTAGAACCTTTTCTTTGTTTCGTTCGAGTCCGTTTCGTCAGCTTCTTCTGACGCTCTCTCCTCTGTGCGTGCTCCTGTGTTGTGTTGTGTGCTCTGCTCTGGTTCCGATGCCTCCTTGACCGAGGCCCATGCACGCCTCGACACTCCTGCCCGCCAAGGCGTGGTGGTGCGTCGCGTCCCAAGAAGGTGCTAAGCCAGGAGCGACCCGGCTGCTGAGGCGTTTCAGGATCTGCCGCAGGGACGCCCCAACACTCCCGCTGAGCCGTCTCAGAAACTGGCTCATCATAGCAGCACGGTCAGTCATTGGGCGGGTCTATCGGGGGGGCAGAGCAGTCTAGGTCGCCGCGCGGCAAGTCATAGAATCCAATTTTGCATCTTTGGAGTCAGTTTTCGCTGCTGCTTCTGACGCTCTCTCCTCTGTGCTTTTTCTTGTGCTGTTGCGCGGAGAAATGCGGATTGCGCGGAGAAATGGAGATTGTGCGGATTGTGCGAACGCGGATCGTGCGGAGAACGCGGATACTGCGGGCAAACGCGGATTGTGTGGACAGTGGGCGGTATCTGCCGGCAGCGCGGCTTTGAAAAGGTGCGTGGGCGAGTGTTTCATTTACCGGAACGCGTGTGGGGCGCGTAGGACGTAGGAGTCCGCGTAGGTTTCTTGAGTCTAGTGTTTCATTTACCGGAAGTCTTTCTTGTTTCCGTGCTGCTCTCACGCATCTGTGCCCTCTTCTGCCCTCTCCTACTCGTGTGCGCTCTGTGTGCGTGCAGAGAGGGACGAGAGATGGAGCATTGGTGGTGCAGCAAACTGTCTTGCTCAACAACGTAAGCCTGCAGGAGCAGTAGCGGCAGGACCAGCAGAAGCGGCAGGAGCAGATGGAGGAAACTAGCAGCGGGAGAAGTATGGTAAGTTTTTAATCGAATCTATTTGGGGGGTCAATCAGTCTAGGTCGCCGCGCGGCAAGTCTTGGATTCTATTCTTGTTTCTCCCCAGTCCGTTCTCTCTGATGCTTCTAACGCACTCTCCTCTGTGCTTGTTGTTCCTGTCCTATGCTGTGTTCGCTGTTCTGGTTCCGGTGCCTCCTCCTCTGAGGTCCATGCACGCATGGACACTCATGCCTGCCAACGGGTGGTGCTCTGCGAGTGAGGAACCGCCTTCTGAGCCGTCTCAGAATCATTCTCACCAACGCATCATGGTATGTTGTTGGGTGCGTCTGTGGGGGGGGTATAGAAGTCTAGGTCGCCGCGCGGCAAGTCTTAGAAACGGATTCTGCTTCTTTCGAGTCCGCTATTTTTCTGCTTCTGACGCTCTCTCCCCTGTGCGTGTTTCTGTGAGCATTCACGAGGCAACAGTCCTGCCTGCCAACGGGTGAAGCGCTCCGCGGCTGAGGATCCGCCCTTTCTGACGTCTCGGAAATTGAACCACAACGGCAGTATGGTAAGTCGATGGAGGGATCAATCAGGGGGGCAGTGTAGCCTAGGTCGCCGTGCGGCAAGTCTTAGAATCGCTTTCTATTTTTCCCAAGTCCTTTTCGTCTGCTGCTGCTGACACACTCTCTTCTGTGCCTGTTCCCGTGCTGTGTTGTCTGCGCGCTTCCAGTAACGACCCGACTGCTGTGGCGGCTCATAATCTGCCCTACGGACGCCCCAACACTCGTGCCTGCCACGGGTGGTGCCTGAAAGGGAGGGGCTGTGCGAGGGAGGATCCGCCTTCTGAGCCGTCGCAGGAACGGACGCATGCTGGCACCATGGTAAGTCGTTGCTCTCATCTATTGGGGGGGTAAACAAGTCTACGTCGCCGTGCGGCACGTCTTAGAATCAAGGTTTGATCCTCCCGAGTCCGTTTCCGTTGTTGCTGCTGATGCACTCTCTTGTGTGCGTGTTCCCGTGCTGTTTTTGCTGCTTTGGGAGTCTCCCTGACTGAGGCCCAGGAATGTGCTGACAGTGCCTCCCAGGAAGGTACGGTGCGAGTGAGGAAGGAGGATCCCCCTTCCGAGCCGTCACGAATTTTGGCTCACCACGGTGAGTGGCTGCGCGGGTCTCTTGGGGGGGGAGAACAGTCTAGGTCGCCGTGCGGCAAGTCTTAACATTGGTTATAGGTTTTCCTGAGTCTGTTTCCATAGCTGCTTCTGACCAACTCTCCTGTGTGCTTGTTGTTGTTTTGTATTGCTCCCTGACTAGTTGAGATTTCCCTGACTTTGACCGAGGGACACGTCTCAGACGCTGGCAGTGCGTCCCAGGAAGGTGCTGTGTGAGTGAGGAGCGAGGGACCGCCTTCTGAGCCGTCTCAGACGCTGTTGAGACCCAGGGACACGTCTCAGAAACTGGCTCGCCACGGCAGTATGGTAAGTAATCTGGGCGGGCTCATTGGGGGGGCAGAGCCGTCTAGGTCGCCGTGCGGCAAGTCGTAGACTTATTCTCTGATTCTTCTGAGTCTTCTTTCGTTGCTGCTTCTGACGCACTCTCCTTTGTGCATGTTCCTGCGCTGTGTTTGCTGCTGTGGTTCCCATGCCTCCTGCACTGGTTCCTGCCAAGGCCTGGTGCTTCTCAGAGCGGTGCTGTGGGGATCCGTGCTTTTCAGGCCTGGTTCTTTTCAGAGAGGAGAGGTGCGAGTGAGGAGTCGTCTCACAAACTGGCACACCATGGCAGCATGGTAAGCGATTGGGTCGGTTTATTGGGGGGGGTAAGAGCAGTCTAGGTCGCCGTGCGGCAAGTCGTAGAATTAATTTTGTTTCCTTTGAGTCTGCCTCCATGCTGCTTCTGCTGACGAGCTCTCCCCTGTGCTGGTTGCTGTGTTGCATTGGCTGCTGTGGATGATCGGGTGTCTCCCTGACTGAGACCCAGGGACGCTCTGACGTGCTCCCCAACAAGCTGTCATGCAAGTGGGAATCCGCCTTCTGAGTTATCACGGGGTTTCGTCACAACGGCAGAAGGGTGAGTGGCTGACGGGTATATTGGGGGGATAAAGCAGTCTAGGTCGCCGTGCGGCAGGTCTTAGAATCAGTCTTTGTTTCTTCTCAGTCCGTTTCCGTTGCTGCTGCTGACGAGCTCTCCCTGTGCTTGTTGTTGCTGTGCTGCATTGGCTGCTCTGGTTCGCGGTTCTCCCTGAATCAAACCCACGGACGTGCTGGCAGTGCGTCCCAGGAAGGTGTCTTGCGAGTGACGAGTGAGGAGTGAGAATCCGCCTTCTGAGCCATCTCAGGCCCTGGCTCACCAATGGTGAGTAATTAGGCAGGTCTACTGGGGGGGCAAGGGAGTCTAGGTCGCTGCGCGGCAAGTCCTATGATCGATCTTTGCTTTCTTTGAAGTCCGTTTCTCTCCTGCTTCTGACGAGCTTTCGCCTGTGCTTGTTGCTTGTCCCCTGTGTTTGTTGCTGTGTTGCATTCGCTGCTCTGGATCGGGTGTCTCCCTGACTGAGACCCAGGGACCTCCTGGCAGTGCGTGTGCGTCCCAGGAAGGTGCTGCACGAGTGAGGAGGGGGGGTCCGCCTGCTAAGCCGTCTCAGGCTCTGGCTCACCACGGCAATATGGCAAGTGATTCGGGCTGATCTACTGGGGGGGCAGAGTAGTCTAGGTCGCCGTGCGGCAAGTCATAGAATCGAGTTTCTTTTCTTTCGAGTCTGTTTCCGTTCCTGCTTCTGACTCACTCTCCTCCTGTGTGCGTGTTCCTGTCGTGTGTGTTTCTGTTGTGCGGTGTGCTCCTGTGTGTGTTCCTGTCATGCGGTGCATGTGCCTGGTAGACTGAGAGGCGTGGAATGGGCGTCCCATGGACAGGAAGTGTTGCTCCCAGGGGTGGTGCATCCCAGAGACGCACTGGCGTGGCTTGGGTAAACACTAACATTCAGAGGGCGAAGGGCAGTACAGGCAGACTCTCGCATGGGTGAGTGTCTCCTATCCTCGTCCTTACATGCATGCTCTCGAGCACGTGTGTTCGCCCTGCGCTTCACCCTCCCTTCGCTTCCCCCCTCTCTTCCCTCCTTCGCCACCTTCTTCCCTCGCCCCTGTTTTTGCAGGTGCGTGCAATGGGGTGGGAGGAGCAAGGCAGCACAGCAACCGACTGAGTTCTCAGCACGGCACCAAGCGTGTTCTGCACTGCATTGGAAGGGTGTCTCTCTCAGAGGTCCATGTCACAGAGGTACCCGCCATTCTCTTGCATCGCGTCTCTAGTGTTCTTCTGGCTTGGCTTTCTCTGTGTATTTTTTCTGCTGCATCTCTGCTTGCTATGGTGACTTGCAGTTTCCTCCTTTCCCTCCTCCCCACTTCCGTTGTTTCCCTTCTCCTCCTGTGCACCCTGCTACCCTGCAGTCTCTGCAGCAGCAATCGCTGCAGAGGCAACAATGGCCACTGCAGGGGGAGCATGTGGGGCATGAGCCGCATCAGGTGAGTTCCTTCCGCTCCTTCCATCTCCCCTCCGGTCCTTTAATAATACCGCATTTTCTTCTGCCATTGTCCTTGCATTACAGAACATGCCCCTCCCAACGCACTCCGCTTTGCTCCCCTCCCCCCCATCAGGCAACAGGCAAGGTTGTAGCAACACCGTCAACATACATGTGGTAGCACTAGAGGACAGGAAGGGAGGGAAGGATGAAAATGGATAAGCATTGAAGGGCAGAAGTGGAGATGAAATGAATGAAATGCTGGTTACCAACAGGGTGAGTTTTAGCCCCCGTGCTGCACCCACCCACCCATGCTTGCCATGCTGTGTTGTCCACTGAGTCCTTATGCGTTCCAACTCACAATCCACACACCGGATCAAGTTACTCCCTCTTTGCAGTTGCCCCCCTAATCCTATTACGGTTGCCCCCTGTTTACCCCTTCTGTCCAGGTCACTTCCACACTTCGGTCTTCTCTCTCCTACACCCACTTTTGTGTGGATTCGTCACTTCAGTTGCGCAAGTGCGTCACCTCTCGCTGCTTCTCCATGCTCATCCCTGCTATGTCATGTTCCTGCTACTTACTTTCAGCCGGTTTCTGCATGTTTCTCCCTTGTATTTACTTGCCCTGTGTTATCTCCCCAGCTAGAGTCTCCTTCGCGTCTTCATGTATTTTGTTTTCCCCCTGGGGCATTCGTCCTTCCCACTGACATTCCATCCTCCCTGCATTGCCGCCTTCCCTTTGCAGGGCAGCAGGGGGAAACAGGAACAGCGATGCACACCAGCAGTAGTAATGAGAAATAGTAGTACGGTAAATATAATAATTGCTGGCGCATGAAAACGGTGCAAGGTTTAAGGTGAAGGTCTTATAAATAACCTATGTAAGGATGGCGAGGTATGGTGGGGTACTATTTCTGTAGTGTGCTGTAGGTATGGTAAATGATGCTGAGGTATGGTGAGGCATGGTATGGTACAGTGACTCCTCAACCAAACCAGGGAAAAGAATCACTGAACAGAGGAAGCAGTCATGCCTAGTCAAACACAGGTAGCAAGCACCTGTGACAAAGAGTCATGCACAGTGCACAGCACACACATATAGCCGAAGACAGAACCACCCAGCTTAGGGGTGATTGAGTGTAGCCCAATAAAGGATGCAGCCCACACCCAACCAGAGAATCAAGGCCCAATCGCAAAAGGACACCCTGTTTGAAGCAGAATCACATGGCGCAGGTGTTGAATTGAATTGACACAGGTTTTGTTCATTGGGCCTAAACGTGCAGGATAACTGTGATTCTGTTTTCCATGTAGACATTCCGAAGTTTACTGATTACGAGACCTCTTGTGGAATTTATCGTAGGCGGTCAATGTCAACGCTTCGGTGGCCGAAGTCAACGCTATACGTGCCTCGTTAGCCGCTTCCCCGCTGCAAGTAAAATATTCTCCGAGTGGTCTACACTTCACTATTGGCTCCTCTTGCCGCAGGACTGCAGGTGCTCTGGCCCAGAAGAGCATCGCTTTCGGGTCCGAAGTTCCCAAGGTTGGTGCTGGCTGGCTGCCGCAGGCACGGAAATCGGCATTAGTTCGCAGTCTTCCAGATGCCATACTCACCCTGATGCGTTCCAAATAACGGCCATTTCCAGCTATAGGGAGGGCGCATCGTCAAGTAATTAATCAAATTGCTGCCTTTCTAACATTCGCGAGCGTTCATGTCTTTTGTCGTAGGCATTAGCGAAAGAAGGCGCTGGTTCTGCCGGTGACAGCTGGCCACTGGTTCGTAACACGTCGAGCGACTGAACGTTTATATTCTCTTCATGCCGGAGTTTTACTTCTCAGCTTCACACCCCGCGCGTCGCTAATGTCTCGGTAGCTGCCATGGCGTTGCCACAGCGGCGTCGGCGCCTTTACACCTCGGCTCGTAATCGTCACTCAGACTTGTAACTCGATGCTAACATGGCGGCGACTTCGTTAGCTTGGTGCGAAAGCCAGTACCTTTTACTCGGATACTCGAGTTTTAGGTTTCCATCCGTTAGTGAAAGCACTCTTTAATTCCAGTGCTCAGTCTTCCGACTTTTGGCCGGCAGTTTATTACCAGCGGTAACATTAGGTTTAAATTACCTCGGGACAAGACTATTAAGACGCTTTATCGCAGGATACAAGTGTAGCCCTTGGCTCTCCGCCGCTGCGTACCCGGTGCTAGCCACGCTTAGGTTTTCCTCGACTGAGTACGACCTGTTATAAATCTTCACGTATTGAAGCGTGTCTCGCCTCAGAGTGTTTCGAGGCTCTCTCATTCCGCGGGCATTCGGCGTGGCAGTGAGGCGGCAAGATGAATTTCTCGCACGACAAGTTCGACGCGGAGAAGTATGTGGACGACCAGATGCAGATCATGGACGAACGGGTACGTGGCATGAGCATCACCTCCTCTTTCCCTTTCCCTCCCCTCCCCTTCCCCACCTTCCCCTCCTGAACTGATCATACAGTCTTATTTCCAATTTCCTTGTTCATCTCCTCGCGTCCCGTCTTATTCCCGTCCCCGCATCCCACCGTCACCCCCCCCCCCTTCCGCTCCCTCCCCCCCGCAGGGTGTGCGGCTGCTGGTGGGGGACCTGGCGGACTACAGGCGCGTGTCAGCGGACGAGATGCGCAAGAGCGTGTTCGCCAACTACACGGCGTTCATCGGCACGTCCAAGGAGATCGCCGAGCTGGAGGTGGAGCTGCAGCAGATGAAGAACCTGCTCTCCGTGCAAACCGCGCTCATCCACTCCCTCGCCGCGGATAGCATGAGCAATGATAATAGTAATAGCGCTTCTGGTGGTGGTGGGGGGGGTGGGGGTGGGGGTTCGACGCCTGCGTCGACTACCTCGTCGGTTACCACTGCTGGTACTTCGTCCACCTTCGCTGGTGCTTCGTCCTCGTCATACGCGTCCTCGTTAGCCACCCCGCAGCAGGACGAGGAGGAGGACGAGCGGCTGTGGAGCGTGGAGGTTCCCGAGCCGACAGAGATCGAGAAATACGCGGAGGCGCTCCCGGATATACTGGATATTCTTATAGCGGAGCGCAAGGTCGACCGCGCTATAGAGCTGCTGGAGCAGGGGCAGCAGATTGTGCAGCTGGCGCTGGCGACGGCAGGGGACGGGGCGGGCGGGGGCGGAGGCGGGGGGAAGGGGGGAGGGGGTGGGGCGGGCGGGGAGGACGAGGAGATCCTGAGCGCGGACGCGGCGAACGCGCTGGCGGCGGCGATCGCGGAGAGGCGCGCGTGGCTGATGGCGCAGCTGGAGGAGACGGCGCAGCAGGCGGCTGTGCGCGGACAGGAGCTGCGCCAGGCCGTGGGCGCGCTGTACCGCCTGGGGGAGACCGAGCGCGCGCACCAGCTGCTGCTGGGCGCGTACGGGGAGCGCATCAGGAGCGGATCCCGCCTGCTGCGCCCCCGCGGGACCAGCTTTGGGGGGGCGTACACTGCTGCCCTGGCGCAGGTGAGTGCGTGGGGAGGGGGAGCGTTGGGAGGGGGAGGCCGTGGTGGAGGGGAGGGCGTGAGGACTAGGGGGTGAAGGTCCTGGAATGGTCATGGGTGGGTGGCGTAACGTGTCTTTCCCTCATCCCGTTTCCCCCTTTCCCGATTGCTTCCCCCACTTTTCTCCCCAGGCGGTGACAGCTCACAGCATTTTGTGAGGTCTTGTATCCATTTTCTCACCTCTTTCCCTCCCCTCCCCCGCCCCCCCCCTCCTCTCCCCACCTTCCCCCTCCCCTTGCATACCCCCAGCTGGTGTTCTCGGCCATATCTCAAGCAGCCACAGACTCGGCGCGCATATTCGCATCGGACCCGGCGTGTGCGGCGGACCTGCTGCTGTGGGCGCAGAGGGAGACGGAGTTCTGTGTGTCGCTGCTCAAGCGCCACGTGCTCTCCTCCGCTGCTGCTGCTGGCGGGCTGCACGCCGCCGCTGAATGCGTGCGCATCGCCCTGGGTCACTGCAGGTGGGTTGGTGGGAGGTGGGGCTCTGCATGTGGTGGCAGGTGGGAGGGTTTTTGGGGCACCGCAGGTCAATTCGTTGCTGTTCACTCGCTGTTCGCTGCCGCTGCTGACGGGCTGCACGCCGCTGCTGAATGCGTGCGGATTGCCCTCGGCCACTGCAGGTGGGTGGTGGGTGCCTGGGCAGTGCAGTTGTGAGGGTGCTGGGGCAGTCTAGGTGGTGGGAGCTGGCGCAGTGCAGATGGGAGGGAGGGTGCTTGGGACCTGCTGCTGTGGGCGCAGAGGGGGACGGAGTTCCGTGTGTCGCTGCTGACTCCGATGCCTTCCTGTGCCTTACCCTTCCCCTCCTCCCCTCCACAGGCTACTGGAGGAGCAGGGCCTCACTCTTTCACCTGTGCTCTCCAAGCTAGTCCGCCCCAGTGTGGGGGAAGCGCTCGAGTTCAACATCATCCGCATAGAGGACTCCGTCGCCACCATGGTGGCTGTGGACGACTGGCTGCTGCTGCCGCTCCCCCATGCCGTGCTGCCCCTCTCTTTCCACCCCGCCCTTGCCTTGCAGGCTATTGGAAGAGCAGGGCCTCACGCTCTCCCCAGTGCTGTCCAAGCTGGTGCGCCCCAGTGTGGAGGAGGCCCTCGACTTCAACATCATCCGCATAGAGGACTCTGTCGCCACCATGGTGGCTGTGACGACTGGCGGCTGCTGCCGCCGTCCCAAGCTGTGCTGAGCTGACCCCCATGCCATGCTGCCTCTCCCCTCCTCCCTTTCTCCTGCAGGCTGTTAGAGGAGCAGGGTTTGGCCCTCTCCCCAGTGCTCTCCAAGCTGGTCCGCCCCAGTGTGGAAGAAGCCCTCGAGTTCAACATCATCCGCATAGAGGACTCCGTCGCTACAATGGTGGCCGTCGATGACTGGGTGTTGCTGCCGCTCCCCCACGGCGCTGCTGCCACGGGCAGGGTGCGCGCGCTGCAGCAGACGCTGGGCCCGGGGTTGATGCACCTGCGGCTGTCGAGCAGCGGCCAGCGGTTCTATCTCTTGCTCGTGGTGAGTGGTGGGGAGGGTGAATTGAGGGGACTGGGGAGAAACAGGGTGCGCGTGCTGCAGCAGACGCTGGGCCCGGGGCTGATCCACCTGCGGCTGTCCAGTAGTGGCCAGCGGTTCTACCTGCTGCTCGTGGTGAGTGGTTGTTGTGCTGCCTCTAGCCGTTGTTGCTGCCACTGCCCCACGGCGCTGCTGCCACTCCCTCACGGCGCTGCTGCCACAGGCAGGGTGCGCGCTGCAGCAGACGCTGGGCCCGGGGTTGACGCACCTGAGGCTGTCCAGCAGCGGCCAGAGGTTCTACCTCTTGCTCGTGGTGAGTGGTTGTTGTGCTGCCACTGGCAGGCAGGGTGTGCGCGCTGCAGCAGACTCTGGGACTGTGATTAGTGATGACACGGGCTCATGCACCTGAGGTTGTCCAGCAGCGGCCAGCGGTTCTACCTGCTGCTCGTGGTGAGTGGTGGGGTGGCGTATGGATGGAGTCAAGAGAAGGTGCGGGGTTGATGTGTGTGTGTGGTGTGTATCAGCTTGCCAAGGGCTGCTCTTTCCGCTCATTCCACCCTCCACCCACCCCACCCCACCCCACCCCTCCCCACCCCGCACCAGGACTTAGTAGAGGACATATTGCCGGTGATCAGCCTGAAGCTGTTCGGTCGCATCTTGGACCGCCTGGCGTCCCTCTACTCGCCCTCGGTGTCTTATCTATACCCTCTCCCATCCACCCCATTCCCACCCCTCCCCACCCCACATCAGGACTTGGTGGAGGACATACTCCCAGTGATCAGCCTGCAGCTGTTCGGCCGCATCTTGGACCACCTAGCGTCTCTCTTCGAGTCCTACGTCGCCCTGCTGCAGAGAAGGCCTGCTCGTTCCCCTCATTCCACCCCACACCACCCCTCCCTACACCCCCGCCACACACCAGGACCTAGTGGAGGACATTCTGCCGGTGATCAGCCTGCAGCTGTTCGGCCGCATTCATCACTCCCTCCCTTTCCCCCCCCATTTCCTCCCCCCGCCCCTCCCCACCCCACACCAGGACTTAGTGGAGGACATATTACCGGTGATCAGCAGCTGTTTGGCCGCCTGGCGTCCCTTCGTGTCTAAATTGTACCCCTTCCCTTCCCCCCTGCCCCTTCGCCCCTACCCCACATCAGGACTTAGTGGAGGACATTCTCCCGGTGATCAGCCTGCAGCTGTTTGGTCGCATTCTCGACCGCCTGGCCTCCCTCTTCGAGTCCTACGTCGCCCTGCTGCAAAAGGCCCTCCCCTCGCCCTCCGACGACGATGACGAGGAGGACGGGGAGAACGCGGGGGAAGGAGGCAAAGACAAGGGCGGGGAGAAGGGCGGGGAGAAGGAGAACGGGGAGGAGCCGTGGCAGGACGGCAGTGTGCGGACAGCAGAGGACGAGCAGCAGCAGCTGGCGCTGCTGGGGAATGCGTCGGCTCTCGCGGATGATCTGCTGCCGCGGCTGGCTCAGCGGCTCACGCTGGCTGCTGGGGAGGAAGGTGGCGGGGGAGGGGGGCGAGGGGGGAGGAAGCAGGGCGGGGCGGATCCAGACAGGAGGCTGTCTGCTGGCGGACGGTACGCCCCCTCTCTCTCTGAATGCTCTTTCTCTTTTCGGCTCTCGGTCCCCTCTGTTGTCCGGTCCTGCTGTATCGTCTGTGGGAGTGGAACCTCCCTTGGACCAACCAAACCCCAAGCCACGGATTTCTTCCTACAGCCATCCGAATACATACATCTCTCGACAGCGTGGGGCAGCGCACTGGGAGTGGCCCCAGGAACTCACTGTTGAGTCGACTCACGAGTCCCTTGCCCTGCCTCCTGACTCTCTCCCCCTCCTCTTCCCCTCTCCCTCCTTCTCACGGTCGCAGCAATGCGGCGGAGCACACGGAGTGGCGGCCCCTCCTCCCCTCCCCTTAACCCTTTCCCCCGGGCATCCCCCTCTTCCTCCCCCTCCCCCTCTCCCCCTCTCGCAGCAACGCGGCGGAGCACAAGGAGTGGCGGAGGAGGCGGCTACAGAAGGCGGTGGACAAGTTGAGCGACGTGCTGTGCTCAAAGGGTGGGGCCCGCAAGCTCACCCCCCATTCCCTCCCCCACCTCCCCAACTCGTTCCCCCTCATCCCCACGTTCCCCCCCTTCCCCTCTCCTCCCCTTAACCCTTTCCCCCGTGTCCCTTCCCCACCCCCCTCTCCCCCTCTCGCAGCAACGCGGCGGAGCACAAGGAGTGGCGGAGGCGGCTACAGAAGGCGGTGGACAAGCTGAGGGACGTGCTGTGCTCGTGCCTGGTGGCGGAGTTCATGTACGGCCACGACGGCCAGCCCATCCTCACCGCCCACCAGTACCTCCACATGGACGCCAAGATGCGCCCCACCCAGTGGGCGCTCAAACCCCTCCCCTCGCCGCCTTTTCAGGTAAGCGTCTGGTGTCCAGGCCAGGCCAGTGAGTGTTAGTCAGGTCAGTGTTTGCCAGCCTGTTCTCACCGCGCACCAGTACCTGCACATGGACGCCAAGATGCGCCCCACCCAGTGGGCGCTCAAACCCCTGCCCTCACCGCCCTTCCAGGTCAGCATCTGCTCTGTCCAGGTCAGAATCTGCTCTGTCCAGGTCAGCATTAGCCATCCAGGACAGGACTTTGCTTAATACGCATATCCCACTTTCAGGCTCTGCTCTGCACTTCATCCACCCAACTCATCCGCCCCAAACGTACTGGGATGGAATGGGAGGGCGTGACTGCATGGTGACGCTGCTGCATGCTGCCTGGTGCTGCTGTGATGTGTTCACATCCTACCTAACATGCACCTTTCTTTGTTTCATCATCCCACGATCCCTCCCCCCAGGTGCTATACATGGCGCTGCACTCCATTCATTCAACCGCCACGTACGTGCTGGGAGGGCGCGACCGCGTGGTGACGCTGCTGCCTGCCTGGTGCTGCTCTCATGACCTTACCCGCTTCCAAACACGCTCCTTTCTCACCTTCCAATCCCCTCCTCCCCCTCCCCTCAGGCACTATACATGGCGCTGCACTCCATCCACTCAACAGCCACGTACGTGCTGGGAGGGCGAGACCGCGTGGTGACGCTGCTGCTCATGCGCCTCGCCGAGTGGCTCATGATGGGCCTCATGGTCTACAGCTCCTTCTGGGACGAGCTGGAGAACGCTGAATACGCCCTCGGCCCTACAGGCTTGCAGCAGGTGCGTCCCTTGTGTGAGGATGGTAAGGTGGGGGATGGTGAGGAAGGGGATGATACAAGAGTCAGTAGCGGAGGTGCCCGCCTCGCGGAGTGGCTCATGATGGGCCTCATGGTCTGCAGCTCCTTCTGGGACGAGCTGGAGAACGCTGAATACGCTCTGGGGCCTACTGGCCTGCAGCAGGTGCGTTGATGTTTGCTCGTGTGTGCGTGCGTGTACAAAGAGGTGCTTGCCTGGTGCAGTGGCTGATGATGATGGGCGTCATGGTCTACAGCTCCTTGTGGGACGAGCTCGAGAATGCAGAATACGCCCTCGGGTCGGGCCCACTGTTCGCGTTGTGTGTGATTATGTGGGCTTCACGAGGGGGGCCATGATGTGCTGCACCTTGCATCCTTGTACGTGTGGTTGTGTGGGCTTCAGCAGGGAGGGGTGCGCGTGCAGGTGGGTAAGTTATGCAAGCACTTGTGCGGGCAATTCACACATCTGGACTCACTCACTCATTCTCCTTCGCTACTGCTGTCCTCCCCACCCTGACCTGCTCCCCCTCTCTCCCCACTTCCACACCAGCTGGTGTTTGACATGTATTTCGTGATGCAGGTAGCCAAGGCGGGCAAGTACTCATCCAGGGCCATGCGCAAGGTGGCAGAGGACAGCGCTACTAAGGCTATTGTGCTCTACACTGATCAGACGGGAGGGGACCCCAACAGGTGCGTGCTGCCAACAATCCAATTGCTCAGTGCAGGGGGACAAGGGGGACAAGGGGGACAAGGGGGGCAGGGCCATGCGCAAGGTGGCAGAGGACAGCGCCACCAAGGCCATCGTGTTGTTCACAAATCAGGTGACTTGTGGGTCGACTCAAAAGTCACCTTGTTCACGAATCAGACCAGGGGGGACCCCAACAGGTGTGTGTGTGTGTGTGTTTTGCCATTGATCCAATCCAAGCAATGCACACTAGTGTAAGGTCGCTGCAGGGAGGGCAGGGCCATGCGCAAGGTAGCAGAGGACAGCACCACCAAGGCCATCATGTTGTTAATGGATCAGACTCGGGATGACCCCAACAGGTAAAGCCTCAGTTTCAGACAGGTGCCCCATGTTCTTCCTGTTGCCCCAAGTGTGTGGAGGCCAGAGAGTAGCTCGCAGCACCCGCTCTCCCCTTCATGCATCTCCACCATTTCCTGTCCCCCCGATCCCTGGCCGCTCTCTTCTCCTTTCCCCCACTTCTCCTGCCCCACAGCCTCCTACAGGAGGACTGGTGGTGTGTGTGGAGGCAATAGAGGAACTCACATCTCCTCAGCAGTCTGCCTGGCTTTCCACCCCCCCTCTCTCCCCCGTCGCCCTTACTTTTTTCTTCCCCTTCTATCCTGTGCAGTCTCCTACAGGAGGACTGGTGGTACGAGCATAAGTGTGTGGAGGCAATAGAAGAACTTGCAGCAGCAGCCAGCCCAGCAGCGTCCCCTACTGATTCGCCCAGCCGTCACCGCCGCTCCTTCTCCCAAGAAGACCCTGACGACCCACTCGCCGCCGCCCCCTCTGCTGCTGCTCCTGCCGCTGCTAGTCCTGCTGCTCCTGCTGGTGCTGTTGGCACTGGTGCTGCTGGTGGTTCTACAACTGCTGCTGCCTCGTCTCCTACAATACCGGGTCTGCAGCAGCAGGGGGATGGGGGGTTGTCCCAACAGCAGCAGGGCTTGGGGAGAGGTGGGTTGGATGAGGAGAGGAGACCAGCGGCAAAGGGACAGTATGATATGTATGATGATGATGGGGGGGTTAGGAGTGCGAGACCAGGAGGCAGGGGAGCAGTCCGAAGCCCTACGGGTGAATCAGCAGGAAGGGGGGCGAGGAGCAGAGGGTTTTCAGAGGATGATTATGGGAGCGGGGGCGGCAGGAGTGAGTATGCGGGGCGGGATAGGGGGGATGGAAGGGAGTATGGGAGGGAGTATGGGAGGGGGGACAGTGTGGGGAGCAGGGAGTATGGGAGGGAGAGGGATGGTGCAGGGGGGTGGGAGTATGGGAGGGATGACGGAGGGAGGGATTATAGGGAGAGTGGTGGGAGGGATTATGGGAGGGAGAGAGATGGATCGTATAGAGACAGGGATGTGTCGTATAGGGAGAGAGATAGGGATGGGTATGGGCGGGATGAGAGAGGTTATGCGGGGCGACAGGCACAGAGGCGAGGAGGGTACTGATGTGAGAGCGGAGGGAAGAGGAGGGTAGTGATGTGAGAGTAGAGAGGAGGGGTTTGATGCGAAAATGGAGAAGGAAATTGATGGGTTGAGTTGGTGGAGAGAACGTTGGTCAAGGAGGCTGCCCCCTGCGAGCTCCCAATGGGCGGGGAAGAAAACAAGGGGACGACAACGAGGCTGCGAGGTGGGATTCTTGATAATGGAAAATCCCTGTTATGGGAGTCCCTTCACATGCTTCTCTTTGCTAGGGAAGGGTTGCAGAAGGGCTTTGTCTGTAGCAGGGAAAGATGTTTGTGGAAAATGCTTGTCGCAAGTAGCAGCAGAAAAATGAGGCACCTGATGCCTGAAATTATGTCCCACGTAGGTGATCTAGTTCATGTGTGTTTTTATGTGTAACTAAACGCAAAGAATTTTAGGACGAAAATAATCTTCACGGAATTCATCCTCGTTACAACCCCGTTTCTTCGCCCTCTGTTCAGCGACATAGCTACTCCGAGAACAGAAACTAGTTTCGAGTCCTCCTCGTCCCTTCCATTGGGCCAAGGGTTGTGCGTTGCAGCGAAACAAGTCCTGCTGTTGCTCCCGTTTCTCTCTGATTTCCTTTCCAGCTTCATCCCAGCGGGTCCGCACCGCAGTGGTCGTGACAGCGTAGCAGCTCATCTAGGCAATTCTTGACGCGTATCGTGAGCCTCGGGATTACTTGAAGCGAGCCGTGCTAGTGGGGAGAATGGGAAGCGCGGGGAAACTTAGAAGCGGCCGTGCAGCCATGACGTCCGTAACTTCCTCGAAGGTAGGGAGGGGGAAGAAGAAGGCGGGAACTGCATCTAACCGGGGTGAGCCGAATTCAACCGAGCCTCCAGCGACGCTGGCTACAGTGCGTGACGATGACGTCGCAAGTGCAGGTTTCGCAGCTGAAGCCGCAGCGGTCGCAGACGTGACGGCGACAGCACACCCTAACTCGGCGTCGCAGGCGTCGCCGCCTGGAGGCACGCGGAAGCGAGCGGCCGGCGATGATATCGACGCGATTTTTAACCAGGCGAAGCAGAGCAAGCAGCATGCGGCGGCGGGCAGCGGGCAGAAAGGAAAAAACGGCAAAGGAAGCGCGAAAGACCAGGGCAGCGAAAAACCACCGGGGGAGAAAAAGGGGAAGAAGAAAGGTAAAGCTGGTGGAAGTGGCATGGATTCAGATAGCAAGGCAAGGCAGCGGACGGAGGAGGGGTACAGGGTTTACAAGGAGGATGAGCTAGGGTGGAACAAGAAAAGTTCTGGGGGCACTGCGCAGTGCCCGTTCGACTGCGACTGCTGCTTCTGACGCCTGGCTTGCGGCGCTTAGGGAAACGTCTCAGTGCATAGGCTATAGGGTTAGAGGGGGGTTAGTGGTTTACGAGGAGGAGCTTAGGGTGGAACAAGAAGAGTGCTGGCGGCACTGCGCTGTGCCCAGGCCCTCAGATTGGTTTCAGGGCATGCTGATGGATCAGCGTGCCCTGCCCAAAGTAGTGACCAAATCAGCGTTGGGGATGAAGTTTATGCTGATTTTGTCAGGGTAAAATTTCATGGCTAACTGATTTCTCAGTGTAAAAATCTATTTGAACTTCATAACCACTACTTTTAACGTAGCTGTAAGGTTTCGTCCAGTTATTAGAGAGGTCGCGGGTGCAAGTCCCGTGACTGAGAGGTTAACTAGTGGATGGCGATAATTCTGGGCCTAAAGCCCCACGTCCGCGCACTCATGTCCTGAACCCTATGCATTTTGGTAAGTCCGAATCAGTGTGACTCGGTACACTATACTGATGGTTCAGTGTAACTGGTACACCAATACACTAATTCGTCAGGGTAGTCCTACACTTTAAACTGAAAAATCAGTGCAAATATAAAGAAGATACTGAAATTTCAGGGAAAACGAAAATCACAGCTACAAAATCAGCCTAATCAGCGTGTTTTACGCTGATATCTGAGGGCCTGGCTGTGCCCCTTCAACCGCGAGTCTCTAGCTGCTGAAAGAAGGATGCTGGTGGGTCTCGAGTTGCCCAGCAAGGATTTCAGGTTTTATCCATGCAGGCAATGCAGAAGAAGGATGCTGGTGGGTCTCGAGTTGCCCAGCAAGGATTTCAGGTTTTATCCATGCAGGCAATGCAGAAGAAGGATGCTGGTGGGTCTCGAGTTGCCCAGCAAGGATCTTTTGGGTAGTTAAATAGAGCAATGCAGGAGAAGCCATGCAGCAGTCTCAAGCTGTCGATGCTCCGTAAGGAGGAGGCTATTTTCTTCCATTCGTCATGCATGCTAAACAACCACCGCAGCTCCTGAACTTGATGCAATAAACACTCAGTGTACTGTGCTACATATCAGTTCAATGTACTGTAGCAATGACTACACTACACCGTCCTTCCTCCTGCCCAAAGCACACATGCCATCCTCCACACTCCCAGTCCCTACTGTACACAGCATGCTCATGTGCCATCATATGGGATCATGTGGCATCAGCATCCCATACCACACACCCCATGACCACCCCGCCTGGCGACACATACCCACTCCCCCTAACCACACCCACCCACCCCGTTAAACTCCCTCGGGCCTAGGCCTCGGCACTCTCCGCAGCCTTGCTCTGTTCCTGCAGCAGCTTCTGCGCTGCGCTCTCATACGCGGCATCGGCGTCCCGCAGGGGGATGGAGCCAGCAAGCAGGTGCAGGGGCGTCTTGAGGCAGTAGCCGCAGCACTTGCCTGTGCACTCACGACGCCGCCCGCACTCGCGGTTGTACCTGGGATAGTGCAGTCGAACAGGGTCAGGGGAGATGAGAGGGTGGGTTAGGGTAGGGGAGAAGCGCAGGGGGATGGATGGAGCTGGCAGGCAGGTGAAGCGGGGTTTTGAGGCAGTAGCCGCAGCACTTGCCCGTGCACTCCCCGCCCACACTCGCGGTTGTACCTGGGGTAATTGGGTGTGGGGAGTAGGTGAGGAGGGCGGGGGGAGTGGGTGATGTATGTGGGAGGGAAGAGAAGATGGAAAGGGTGCAGGCAGGGGGATGGAGAGTGTGAGAGGGTACGGGAGAGAAGGCAATGGGAGGAGGGAAACAAGCAAGGGGACAGGAAGAGGAGAAGGTGGGTCGGATTTCTGAGGCACCTCGATAGTGGTGTGGAGAGAGGGTGAGATTTGTCCTAGCTGTTTTGCACTAGTGAAAGATGATTGCACAGGTTCGGTGCAACCATACCTGCACATGTAGCATCGGGGAGCGTCGATGCTGTCTTCCGAGCCTGGTCCCACAGGCCATGAGTCTTCAAAGGTCTTCTCGAAATTGGCGAGCACCTGATGGGGCGAGGGACAGGGGGAGAGGGCCGACAAGGGAGAGACAAGGAAAAGGAGTGGTTTGAGTCAAACCGTTTGACCGTGCTGTCATTGTGAACTCACGTCCACCACAGCCAGCAGACCACTCATCCCCACCCCCACCCACTAACGTCAAGCACAGCAAAGTGGGTGTAATCGTAGGAGCAGCAGCGCATCCTCATCGCCACCTCCCCAAATGACCGTACCACCCAACTATGCCCCTACTTAAACGTATCAAGCACAGCGCAGTGACTCAAATCCAGCACCATGCCAGTGCTCACATCAAGAACAGCGAAATCAGTGTAGTCATATGAGGGCAGCAGCGCGCCCTTATCGTTCATATCGTTGCCGTCCTCACCACTCCCTCCTGCAGGCTTGCTACTGGCCCCAACAGCACCCACTCACATCGAGAACAGCAAAGTCGGTGTAGTCATATGAGGGCAGCAGCGCGCCCTCGTCATCCATGTCGTTGCCGTCCTCTGCTGGACTCGCGCCCGCTCCCGCCAGGCACGTCGGGTAATTCACCCCCTCGGTGGCGGGGAATTTACCCTCGAAAATGAGGTGCACCTCGTAGCTCATCCCAAAGTCGTACTGGTAGACCAGCAGAGGGTCTGTCTTTGAAAACACAGCCCCCACTTCAAACGCCCTCTCGTCCAACACCTGGCATGGAAGAGAGAGAGGGGAGAGAGGGAGAAGGGAAGCATGGGAGCCGGAGCAAGAGTGGGAAGAGAGCAGGAAAGGCGGAGACGGGGGGGGGCAGAGGGGGAGAGCATGGGAGGGGGAGCAGATGAGGGGGAGCAGTGGGGAAACAGGAAGGGGGGAGCACGGAGGGGAGTGGAGGTGGGGCAGGAAAAGGGAGAGCAAGTGGTTGGGAAGCAGAGGAGGGGGACAGGGAATGAGATTGTGAGGTGGTGCACACATGACCCTCTCCTCCACATTCCCTTCCCAAACCTCCAAACATCCCCCTCTCCCACCCTACATTCACAACTCCTCTTCCCCACTCTCCCCTACTCTCCCCACAGCCCCACACTCCACCCTCCTCACTCTCCTCCCTCCCCACACTCCCTCCTTCCCACACCCCTCCCTCACCTCGCCAGGTCCAGTCAGCACCGCCACCTCCTTCCCTTCTCCCGCCGCTGCCACGTCAGCATGCTCCACAAACACCACCTCAGCACTGCCGCCCAAATCCAAACTGGCCGGCGTCAGAATCAAATCGTCCGCCGCCTCCTCCTTGGCGCCCGCTACAGTCTTGAACGTGCGCGTGAACCCGGGCGGCAGAGAGTCCAGATCCAGCTGTAGCAGCTCCGCTACAGCCGAAAGATCCGTCCGGCCGAACCCGCGGTACTGCGTGTCGGGGAGCGGCGGGAGAACAGCCTCGGATGTAGCAGATCCGATGATGCCGGCCGCGGCGGCTGTAGCGGCGGCTGTAGCGGCGGCGGTTGTAGTGGGCTTGGGTTTGGTTGTAGCGCCCTCGGTTTCGGCCTCGGAATCGGTGATTTCGTCTGCAAGGGCGGCGGCCGGGTCGAGCAAGCGGCGCCACGCGTGGCGGCGCGGCTGGGTGAAGTCGTGCAGATGCGTGTCCTCCCAGTCGAACGCGTTCTGTCATGGAGAAAATGGGGGGAGCGGACGGGGGAGGGGGGAGGGCGTGAGAAGGAAGAGCAGCGACGCGGATCAGAGACGCGGCTGGGTGAAGTCGTGCAGGTGCAGGTGCGTGTCCTCCCAGTCGAACGCGTTCTGAAGTGGAGGGGTGGGTGAATGGGGGAGCGATCAGGGAGAATGACGGATGGGGGATGGGGCAGCTTCGGCTGCTATTGTAACCATATGACACACAGCCACTTTCGCCTGGCCTGTCAACGATGCGACTGGCGAATGTCGCTGAGAGGAAGAAGCTGTATATAAACGCGCGCAAACGCGATTTATCTATATTCCATCATAACTCGACAAATTTTCTTAGGACACGAATCGAATCGCTAGCACGCGAACCGCCGCTTATTGAATGTTCGCAGGGATCATTCCGAAGACGCAATCTCGTTTTCCCACACTCGCTCTGCTCCGTTCCCCTTCCCTTCTCTTCTCCTCACTTCTCTTTTCGTGATGACTCACTAACCTGCAGCGCGCCAATCTTCTCGTCTCACCTGCAGCGCGCCGATATACTCAAACCTCACCTGCAGCGCGACGTGCAGTTCGAGCAGCGAGAAGTCGGCGGGCACGGCGATGCGGCGCCAGATCTTGCGCTTCCGCAGCACGTCGCCGTCGTCCAGACTCAGCACGCACAGCAGCATCACCACCTCCTCCTCCGCCTCCGCCCCCGCTTCCGCCTCCCCTTCCGCCTCCCCGCCCTCCTCGTCGTCGTCCTCGTCGTTATCCTCCTCCGCCGTCTCCTCCGCTTCGGTGTCCTCCGCCTCTGTTTCCGTCACCTCCGCCTCGGAAGCTTCCTCGATCACCTCTCCTTCTGCCGCGCCGGCCTTTGCCACCAGCACTGCTGGGAACGGAGATGGGGGGAGACCATGGGGGAGAGGCCACGAGGGAGAGGTTGGGGTACAGATGCGGGATGAGAGCGGAGAAATGGGAGGAGAGGGAGGGAGTAACAGAGGGCGTGAAAGGCCGGAGATGTATGAGTCGAGTAAAAACATAAGGGAGGGAAGGAAACGGGTGAAACCTGGCGGGGGTTGTCTCCGGTGTCACGAATAAAGTTTTAAAGCACTCGGAGAAATGAACAATAAAAAGGTGTTTCACTGCAACGAGAGGAAAAACGGGCTCAATGAGGAAAAGGGGAAACTATCTATGCACTGAGAAAAAGGGGAAAGTGGTTCATGATGAAATTGTTGCACCTAAAAGCAGGAAGCCATAACCTACCCTTTTCCTCCTCGGACTCGGACACGAAGGCTGACGAAGACTCATCCTCAGACGCCATCCCGCACCCCGCGACTTCGCGACTGGCTCGCGCCGGAAAGAGACGAAGTGAAAAGACTGCACGGAGGAAGGAAGGGCGGTGGAAATCGTACGAAGCCGCTGATGTCGCGGCGTCTAGCCCGAAAAACAAGGCGCTTCGGTGGAGAGCAAACAATCTGCAGCTAATTTAGCTAGAATGGTGATGTGATAGCTGGAGGGGCACGAAATGGATGGAGCCCCGTGAGATCTAGATTTTACAACATTGCGCAGCTATTCAACAAGCAGTTGAAGCCTGCAGCTTACGTGGCCGATATGGATACAACACTGTACAAATCCATCTTCAGCGTCAGTCCCCGTCATTTCGATAAATTCCCAAGTGGCAAGCTCGTATGTATGTAAGAGAGAGGAACTGTAAAGGGTATAACGCAGGAGCGAAACTAGAGATGTGATTGTAAGGAGCTAAAACGATTCTGCTTTGTGATTGGGCGGAATTCGTGACTGCATCCACCGCTGCCTTCACAGCCAATCCAGCTTAACACACGAAGTTCCAGGCACGCACGGGCCAATGAGCTCCTCTAAATGTAGTGCGGTAGGGCAAATGGTCCACCCACTCCAACCCCAGCCAGACCGAAGCACCCTGGTTTGGCTTGCGTTGCGGGAACAGCCAATCAAGCTTGAGAGTCGCGCGCGCGTACAGCGCAAGTCGCGGATGCTGTCGAGGGGAATTGGACACCGCCTTGCCGATTTGACAGCCCACACTCCCGCCGCCCTCACTCCCACAGTGCGGCGAGGCGAGGCAAGTGCAGCCCATGGCCCATTGGACCTGTCTTGCCGAATGCCGTGATTTTATTGAGCTTTTGATTTGTTTCAGAAATGGCTCATTCATTTATCCGCTCCGTTGCCTTTCATATCACCTCAAGAGAAACACGGAGCCAAGCTAGCAATTTGAATCCTAAAAACGATGCCTAGTTCTCCATTCAGAATCGTCTTTGTTGCGTGCATTCAGCAAGTTGGATGAATGCACGGAGCCCTTCCATTCTAACGTTTCACGGTCTTTGTTTCCGTGCTTCAACGACGTCATTTCTTCGCGGAAAAGGGAAATGCTATCTTGTTAGAAAATTAATTCCTAAATACAGTATCAGACGCCATGGAAGGCAGGGAGTGCTGCAAGCTTTTTTTAGTACTCAGCCAGTAGCGGAGCAGTTGTCGAGTTTAGAGCGGGAAAATGTCGTGGGAGGGTGACAATAACGAGCGGGTTCTGGTGCCTGTAGGCAATGACGCGTGTAGCAAGGACGCGCTGCGGTGGGCCGTGGCGAATAAGATCTCGCATCCTGACGACCTGCTCGTGCTGCTCCACATCGTCACCAAAGCGCCGGGTAAGTCTCCTGGTGACGCGAGCAGTATAGTTTTGAGGCGCCTCAAAACTTGTCCTGCTTCACATCGTCACAAAGCGCCGGGTAAGTCATCTCAAGTGACACGAGCAACGGGTCAAGTGAGACGGCCTTTGCGACGGGTAGGGACGTGTCAGGAGAGTTTTGAGGCGCCGCAAAGGCGTCCCGACGACCGGCTCGTGCTGCTTCACATCGTCACTAAAGCGCCGGGTAAGACGCGCCTAGCGAAACGGGTAAGAGGCGTCAGGTGAGGCGAGCTGTGCGCCGGGTAAGACGCGTCTAGTGAGGCGGGCTGCGCGCCGAGTAGTAACATCCCACAGCAAGGAGGAAAGTTCGTCAGAGGCACGAATCGAGTAGGTCGCGTCCGGCGGGTGAGGAACTTGGTTCTCTCCGGAGTGGCGGTTGAGTCAAGCGCCTATAGCGGTGACCATGTGTAAACACGGGCAGTTGGGTTGCAATAACTCCGACATGATACCTACATTGTTATGTTCCAGCCAGGAGCATACCGAATCTTGGACACAGAATCGAGCTTTTTGTGTCTTGCGTTCCGGGTTTGCTTCGGTTGTGCTAAGTCAGCCGTGACTCGGATCAGATCTCATCCATGCGTGCACATACGCGGCTTTGTCAAGACGGTTACGACTGAAAGACGTGTTTTTATTTATCTATTGATTTCTTTGTTTGTTTGTTTGTTTTGATGACTCCAATATCTGCGGCAGGTCCGGATGGGTACGACGTGGCGCAGAGCGCGGTGTCAAAGACGGCGATCGTGCAGCACGTGCGCACCGCCATCATGCCCATGCTCTCGCAGCTTAAAGCCGGCATTGACGCCAAGGTGAGACCAGACCCTCTTTGCGCTTCCCCTCCATAGTGCTGAGCTTTCTGTTCCCCCCATTCCCCCGGCCGCCTCCCCCGTCCGCCTCCTCCTTCCGCCTCCTCCTTCCGCCTCCTCCTTCCGCCTCCCCCATTCATTTCCCCCGCAGGTGCGCTTGGAGCTGTGGATCACACGCCTTGCGCTTCCCCGCTAATCCCTCTCCCCATTCCCCCATCTGCTTCCCATCGTTTCCCCCTCAGGTGCGCCTGGAGCTGCGCGTGGGGCGCAACGACTCGCGGGACGCGGGGATCATGGAGGGCCAGACGCCTTGCCTTGCTCCCCATTCCCCTGACCGTGTCCCCCATCCGCCTCTCGCCCCCATCAGGTGCGCCTGGAGCTGCGCGTGGGGCGCAACGACTCGCGGGACGCGGGGATCATGGAGGAGGCGAAGAAGCTGCAAGCCACGTGCCTCGTGCTCGGCACCAAGAACCGCGGAATGTTCACCATGTAAGGGGGCTATTGTGAGACGCATACGAGGTAATGAGTCGTGTCAAGAGACAGGGGGATAATGGAGGAGGCGAGGAAGCTGCACGCGACGTGCCTCGTGCTCGGCACCAAGGGCCGCGGGATGTTCACCATGTGAGGAGGAGTGTGTCCGTTATTGGGCTGTCTTATAGATAGAGACGTCTTAAGACGCGGGGACCATGGAGGAGGCAAAGAAGCTGCAGGCCACGTGCCTCGTGCTCAGAACCTCGGGATGTTCACCATGTGAGCAGTCTGTCTGTTGTTGAGCCTGTCGATGATCTATCTGTAGGCAGATACGGCTCGCGGGACGCGGGGATAATGGAGGAGGCGAAGAAGCTGCACGCGACGTGCCTCGTTCTCGGCACCAAGGGCCGCGGGATGTTCACCATGTGAGGATGTTATTGATATTATATTCACATGAGAGGTAATGAGGCGTCTCAAGACGCGAGGATAATGAAGAGGGGATGAAGTGCTGCAAAGTCCCACGGATCAGTGCTCATCAAGAAGGGCACGGATGAAGTGCTGCAGTGCAGGCCAGGCCACGTGCCTCGTTCTTGGCACCAAGTGTCTCGTTCGGGCTGTTCACCATGTGAGACACACGGTGCCGCCGAGGGGAAGTGAGAAACTCAAAATCCGCTTTAGCATGTGGAAAGTGTGGCATGTGGCATGTGGCATGTGGCATGTGGCATGTGGCATGGTCGCTGCCTGGTCCGCCAAAGGCTAGACAACATGCCTTTGGCGCATGCCAAATCCTGCACCACAGCCTCCTACTTTCCCCTCACCTTCTCCTTCCTCCCCTACCTCCCCTCCCCCTCCCTCCCGTTTCCTCTTCTCCCCCCCCCTCTTTTCCCAGTTGCGGCAAGCTATCAGGCAGCACGAGCGCCTTCTGTCTCAAGAGCCGCTCCCCTGCTCTCTCCCTCACTATCAGCCCCCTCCCCTCTTCCTCTCACTTCCTGTCCCCCCTCCCCTCTTCCTCTCACTTCCTGTCCCCCCTCCCCTCTTCCTCTCACTTCCTGTCCCCCCTCCCCTCTTCCTCTCACTTCCTGTCCCCCCTCCCCTCTTCCTCTCACTTCCTGTCCCCCCTCCCCTCTTCCTCTCACTTCCTGTCCCCCCTCCCCTCTTCCTCTCCCTTCCTCTCCCCCCTCCCCTCTTCCTCTCCCTTCCTGTCCCCCCGCCTCTCCCCCCCTCCCAGGCGCGGCAAGCTATCAGGCAGCACGAGCGCCTACTGTGTGAAGAACCGCCCTCCCTCGCTCTCCGTGATAGTCGTTTCTAAAGACAAGGTGCTGCTGGTCAAGCAAGGCGACGCCACTCCCCCCGACCGCTCTCCTGCTCTCTCCCTCACCGGCAGCCCCCTCCCTGGCGCCTCCTCCCCTGCCATCCCCTCCGCTGGGTCCTCCCCCGGGGAGAGCCGCCGGAACAGCGAGAGCCGGAGCGGTGAGGGCCGGTCGGATGCGGTGCAGGTGGCACAGGAGAGTGACGGCGGTGGGAAAGTCAGTGGGAGTGGGAGTGGGAGTGGTAGTTTTGGCAAGGGGAGTTTCGTGCGTGCTGGTTCGACCCTGTCGGATCGTTCTGCGGTTTCGGATGGGAGTAGCAGCAAGGAGACTGGTGAAGAGAGTGGTAGCCAGCAGACGGGTGAGGAGAGGGGAGGGGACAGCAGCAAGCTCTCAGCTGATGCACTGACTGTGGCAGATGCTGCTGCCTCAGGGGAGGAGCGGGGCAGCGGGGACGGGCAGGAGGGGAGGGGGAAGCGGACGGGGGAGGAGAGGGGAGTGGATAGGGAGTTGCAGCAGTTGCGGGAACAGCAGCAGCAGCGGCTGATGCAGCACCAGCAGCAGCAGCTACAGGCAGCGACCAAGCTGGCTGCTCTTATGGAGGGCGTCAGTGTGGGGGGGGGCGCAGGGGGAGGGGGAGGAGGGTGGGGAGGGAACGGATTTGGAGGAGTGGGGAGAGGGGAAGGGGGAGGAGTGAGAGGAGGGGGAGCAGGAGGGGAGGGTGCTGGTGGGGACAACACAGGGGGCAGCGGTGCGTGGAGCGATGATCATGACTCTGCGTCGGCAGTTCATGCAGTGGCCAGGTCACAGCAGCGCATGGGCATGGCGCATGAGAGCACAGGCATGGGCAATGCTGCTAGTGCGGCAGGCACGGGATTCCAACCAGCCAGCAGCGGTGCCAGCGGTGGTTCTAGCGGTGCCAGCGGAAGCGGTGGCAGCAGTGGTATCAGCGGTGTGAATGGGAGCGGGGGCAGTGGCAACAGTGGCGGGTTCAGCCTGGCGAGCAGCACAGGGAGCACGTTCACCATGGGGAGCAGGAGCGGTGCGAGCAGCAGGGCGGGCAGCGGGGGGGAGCCCACCACCTCTCCCATCACTGCCGGCACTGGCACAGGCAGCGGCAGTGGGAACGGCGGTGGGATGGGTGGGGGTGGAGGGAAGGAAGCAGGCATGGTGGCAGCTGCGTCTGCTGTGGCTGGGGTGAAGGAGGCCGGTGGGGTGGGCGAAAGTGGGGGGGCAGCAGCAGCGGCAGGGGGAGAAGTGCTCAAAGCGTCCAGTGGAGTGTACTGCCGTGTGTACTCTTATGAGGAGATTCAGGTATGCCTGTGTGTGTGTGTGAGCCTTTAAATTGCTCTATACGCTTTGAGTTTCTGAGGAGAGCTGGAAGCGGCCAGTGGGGTGTACTGCCGTGTGTACTCTTATGAGGAGATCCAGGTGCGTTGACTGTGATTCGAGGCGCGCAACAAGTGTTCCGCCGTATGTCCAAGCCAAGTGCAGCGGTGGCAGGTGTGTCGTCCTCTTGCTGTCGTCCTCTTGCTGTCGTCCTCTTGCTGTCGTCCTCTTGCTGTCGTCCACATTGTTCTTCTGATTGCCATACACTCCCGTCTCTCGCCTCTCCCTTCCCCACTCCCCCCTCTCCCACACACCAGAGAGCAACCGACAATTTCTGCCCCCAGCTGGTGCTGGGGGAGGGCGGCTGCGGCACCGTCTTTTCTGGGATGCTGGGCGGCAGCAAGGTGGCAGTGAAGGTGATAAAGACGGAAGACGCCACCCGGGCTGCCAAGGAATTTCAGAGAGAGGTGAGCTGCTGTTGTTTCCAATCCGGTCGAAGCTGCTATCTCATGTTTTTTTTCTACTGTATTTTCTGCCCGCTTCACTATCTTCTTCCCATTCCTTCTCCATTCCTCCCGCTTCCGCATGCATGAAACATGTCTTCAGTGTCATGCGTTTGTCCTTCCAGCCTTCGTTTGCACCGCTCACTCCTTCTTTATTTGTCGTGTTCTCCTTTTTTATTTGACTCAACTCCTCAGGTGGAGCTACTGAGTCAGATCAACCACCCACATGTGCTCTCCCTGCTGGGGTGCTGTCCGTCGCACCACTGCATAGTGTACGAGTTCATGGCCAGCGGCACTCTCGAGGAGCGCCTGCTCTGCGCCAACAACTCGCCGCCCCTCCCCTGGTTCGCCCGCCTCCGCATCGCCGCTGAAATCGCCTCCGCGCTCCTCGCTTTACACTCTCAGCCAAAACCCATTATCCACCTGGACTTAAAGCCCGCGAATGTGCTTTTAGACGAGCGGCTTGTAGTGAAGCTGGCAGACGTGGGGGTCGCGAGGCAGATGCCGGGGACCGGTGGTTCGGACCAGGGCTTTAATGTTACGCACGCGCACACGTCTATGCCGATCGGGACCGTTGCTTATGTCGACCCGGAGTATCAGCGAACGGGCGATTTCAGCCCGAAATCGGATGTGTACGCCCTCGGGATTATCCTGTTTGATTTGCTGACCGGACGGCAGCCGGCTCTGTATGAGAGAATAGAGGATGCGGTGGATGAGGGGAATGAGGTGGCGTTGGGGAAGTTGCTGGATGGTAAGGCAGGGAAGTGGCCCGTGGGGTTGGCTATGGAGGTGGCGAGGGTTGCTGTGCGGTGCAGTGAGATGAAGAGGAAAAAGAGGCCTGATTTAGGGGAAGTGGTGATGCCGGTGCTGATGAAGGCACAAAAGGAGGCGGTGATTTTGATGGAGAGGATGATGGCTGGAATGTGATGGGGAGACTGGTAACTCGGTGATGAGAGTGTTTGATAGATACCGGTATGGAGATATGTGACTGACAGGTGAATAACCAGAGAAAATAAAACCTGGTGAACAGTTGCTTTCAGGTGCATTTTATAGGAGAAAATATAGGCTAGTGTTGGTAGATCTAATGCTAGTTGGCTAAAGCTTACCAGAGTAGCGATGTGTGCTTGCAAGGAGCTGTCGGCTGTGGTTGGCACTTCAAACACACCGACGACTTTCGAGACGTCTCAAAACACATCGACGGCTAGATTCCCTACAGCAAATGCCGCGGCAGCATTGTCAGGGGGGGCAGCATTGGGGTCCGCGCGTCTCCGATAATCTTCACGGATTCGGGCAGAGAAAAGTACAAGATCCCATTCACGACAATTCTCGCTGTACAAAACGGCCTCGTCAACTTCAAGAATGCAAATCGAAAGCAACTTGTGAATAATCCTGCCGAACTTGGTCTGGGATGGAAAAGATTTCCATTCCCGTGGGCAGCGAAACGGACAGTAAAGTGGCAGCATCGATTTCAGTTTCGGTATGACAAATCAAACATCGAGAAAAGAGGCAGTTTGGCAGCCCATGCCTGTGTGCGTGAGCGCTGCACCACTTCTGTACTGGCAGTGGAGTGAAGGATGGATTGGTGGACAATAGGACACGACGACGACACGAAACGAAGCCAAGCAGCCAAGCCCGCCTTCCTTCTTTTCGTGACTGGAAAGCCAAGCAGCAGAGCAGACAGACACAGGACAACAAGCAGCATTTTCCCCTAGCATTGGCCCCTGAAGACAAGTTGACGAAGCTGGACCTCCATTCATGTCATCGTTTTCTCTCTGGATTTCACGTTGTGGATCAGCAGCAGCAACTCGGAGGACCAATCAGCCGCCTAGGAAACACAGAAAAAGGCGGCGCACGCAAGTCCTGCTTGGACGTGTATCTTTTGCGATTCTCCTTTCTTCCGACAAACCCGGCTTCAAAGTCCTTATTTTACCTCCCAACAAAGCCTCAGTGGTCCTTAGTTAATAATTTGACGTCAACGCATACCACCCTGACCAGCGAACCAGCTGATTCAAAAGCAATTGCACAACACTTTTGGGTACTCGAGACTTTCGATGAGTTGGGGGCATTTTAGGTTTGGCTCCGAACCAAGTTTCCAAGCCTAGATGGTTCGGTTGCCCCCAGCGATTTACTTTCGCTTCGCACCCCTCGCTTCACCCCACTTCGAACCTTACACCTCGCCAACCAATCAAAGCCACACTTTCACCAACAATTGCAAAGCACTTGTAGTACGTGAGACCCTGGTTGCAAATTCAAAAGCTCTAACTTTTCCGCATTCCGAGAAGACGTGAGAGGAAGCGAGAGGGAGCGAGGGGAAGCGAGAGGACGTGAGCAGTCGCGAGCGGGACAATTTTGAGTATTTAAAGCGACAAGGCTTGGAGGTTGTCAGGGTTTCATGATGGCTCCCTTTAGCGGGGGTCCGGAGCGAATAGTCGTGGCCGTGAGCAAAGACCCGTCGAGTCGCGACGCCATAAAGTGGGCGGTTCGGAAGAAGATGAAGCGCGCCGATGACATGCTCATCCTCCTCCACATCGTCTCCAGGCTTCCCGCTCCAGGTAGGCTCGGTACGGGAGGCTCGGTATGGGAGGCTCGATACGGGAGGCTCGGTATGGGAGGCCCGGTATGGGAGGCTCGGTATGGGGGTCACACAGTCTCATGCTTTGCACGGTAATATAACCGAAAGGTATCGCTGTAGCAGCGAGCAACCGTGCTCACCGTAAAACGCGGCGGTGACAGGGTTATACTTTTTCCCCACGTCGTTCCAAAGGTTCCGTGTCGCGGTATCCCCTCCTCCTGGTATAACCCTCTCCCCTGGGTTAACCCGTGTCCTTGAAGTGACATTGTGTGCCGTCAGAACCCCCTCACAATCTGACAGCCCCAGTCATGTAATCGATATTTGTCCCGGAAATTGATATTCTGGGTCCCCTAGCAATCTCAGCGCAAACAAATGTAAAACTTTCTGGGCAAGTGATTCGTTTTGTCGTTTTTTTGTGTCCTCGTTATTGCGTCGATAGTTTAAGATGTTATCGCGTTCGAAGTTTGATTCGCCATTGCGTCCGCCATTTTGCTGCCTCAAAATCAAATGAGTCAGGCTCTTGAGTCTCAAAATGCCCCTCTTTTTCCCCTCATTTCGCCCCGGGTAATCCCTGCATGCGCGTACGGCAGCGTGGGTTCAAGCAGGGAGATCTACCAGAGCGAGAAGTCGCCTACCACGTTCGTGGCGTACCTGCGGGCCACACATGCCCCCTCACATGCCCCCCTCTTTCCCCAAAACCCATCCCTGGTAATCCCTGCAGGCGGGTATGGTGGTTGGGGGCCGGGCGGCGAGATCTACCAGAGCGAGGCGACGACGGCCGCGTTCGTGGCGTACCTTCGGGCCTTCGGGTCCTCACGTTCCTCCCTATTTCCCTCCGTCTCATCCCCCTTCTCCTTGCAGGCGCGTATGGCGGCAGCGCGGGGGCGGGCGGGGAGATCTACCAGAGCGAGGCGACGACGGCCGCGTTCGTGGCGTACCTGCGGGACGTGGTGAAGCCCATGATGCTGCAGCTCAAGGCCGCCGTGGATCCCAAGGTTAGGCTCTCTAAATGTCACAGTGACTTTTGTGTCAACTCAAACTCGCAAGTAAGGTACCTACCTGCGGGACGTGGTGAAGCCCATGATGCTGCAGCTCAAGGCCGCCGTGGATCCCAAGGTTAGGCTCTCTAAATGTCACAGTGACTTTTGTGTCAACTCAAACTCGCAAGTAAGGTACCTACCTGCGGGACGTGGTGAAGCCCATGATGCTGCAGCTCAAGGCCGCCGTGGATCCCAAGGTGAGCTCCCGTGGGGATGTGAGGATGTGAGGATGTGAGCACATTGTGTCGCCCCAGCAACTTGTTCCCTCCTCTTCCACACCCCCACACTCGCCTTCATCCTCCCCATTCCCCACTCCCCCTTTCCCCCTCCCCCAGGTGCAGGCGCGTGTGGAGCTCAAGGTGGGGCGCAGCAACTGGCGCGTGAGAGGCATTCTGGAGGAGGCCACGCGGCTACAGGCGTCCATACTCGTCATCGGCGCGCAGCCCAGCCTGTGAGTCCCTTAGACACGCCTCAATACACGCCTCAGAGAACACGCTTTCATTTATAAAACAGCTGGACAGATTAAAAGATTGACAGAGACTCATGTCACAATGAGACAAAGACTCGCCACTCTGCTTCCTCCCCTGCCTCTTCACACCCACGCTCTGGTGCCACACATGTCCGTGTATGTCCTTCAGGCGGGCAAGCTGCTGCTCAGCCACTCACCCCTCCAGTACCCCGCTGTCTATCTCTTCCCCTTCCTCACATGTCAGCAACAAGCCGCCGCACATGTCAGTCTACGTCATTCAGGCGGGCAAGCTGCTGCTCAGCCACTCACCCCTCAATACCCCCCTGTCCCCTTCCTCTCCCCTTTCCCATTCCCGTTTTCCCCCATCCCCCTCCCTGCCCCCCACCTCTTCTCCATACATCAGCCACGGCGACTCCTTTGGCACGGGGGCGTATTTCATCCGCAACAAGCCGCCACACATGTCAGTCTACGTCATTCAGGCGGGCAAACTGTTGGTCTGCCACGAGGCAGACGGGCAGATCACCGGCTCGCCTGCTGCCTTAGACGCCCTTGCTCTCGAAGCCGCAGCTGCAGAGGCAGCAGGGGGAGGCGGAGGCGGAGGGGGAGGCGGAGCGGGAGGGGGAGGCGGAGGGGGGTTTGCAGACGGAACGGGGGCGCTGTTAGGCATGTCTCCGGGTCAGTTTGAGGGCGGAGGGCCCCTATTGGTGGATCAGCTGCTGGCTGCCGGCCTGCGATTGGACACGCCGGCTGCTGAGCTGGCGGCGCTGCGGCTGCCTGCTGAAGTGTTGGAGCAACTGCTGGCCGCACAGGTGGCAGCTGGTGGTGAGTCCAGGTGGCATGCAGTGAGTGGAGGTGGCATGTGGTGTGTGGGGGTGGCATGTGGTGTGTGGGGGTGGCATGTGGTGTGTGCAGGTGGCACGCGATTGTAGGCAGGCAGGTTCAGTAAGCTGATGTAAGATACAATAAAAAACACAGAGATTGCTTTGAGGCACATATTTTCTATGTCCCTTTCTGCCATTTCCCCTTTTCCTTTAATAACCCATGTTTTCTCACGCCCTGTGTGTCCTACGCGTGCCACGTGTCCCCCACACGCCACCCTCCTCACCTCACCACGTGTCTGGCACGTTTCAGGCAAGTCAGGGAAGAGCAGCCGGAGGAACAAGAGTCCGCTCCCCGCCGCCCCACCCCCGGCGCGCAGCAGCAGCAGCAACAACATCAACATCAGCAGCAGCATGAACATCAGCGGCAGCAGCAGCTTCAACAGCAGCAGGTCTGAGGAGATCTCTCTCTTTGGTAGCAGCCCAGGAGGGGACCCAAACCAGCAGCTGCTGCTCCTGCAGCAACAGCTGCAGCTTCAGCACTTGCAACAGCAACAACAGCAGCAGCAGCAAGGGGCAGAGCAGCAGCAGCAGGAGGGCGAGAAGAGAAAGTCTCGATCCAAGTCTAAATCCCGCAAGAGCAGCCGCGACCAGCTTGCTTTATCATCTGGCCTTCCTTTTGAGGTGCCCCAGGGGTCACTGGAAGGCACAGGGTATGATGGCATGGGGTACAGTCACAGTGGGAGTGATATTCCTATTGGTATTCCTCCTGCCACAATTGCCAATACCAATGCTAACGATACCAACGCTGCCAATGCCAATCGGCTTGGCCAGTTCCTCACTCCGCCTCGCTCCCGCAGCGGTATGGATGCTTTTGCGTCTGTCCTCGCTAGAGACAGCCTCACTAGTAGCTCTGGCCCGCTGCCGCGCCTCTCGCCTTCGTTTAAGCCGTCCAGAGGGCGATATGAGGGAGGGCGATATGAGGGAGGGGGATACGAGGGAGGGGCGTATGAGGGAGGGGAGTATGGGAGCACTGGTACCTCTCCTGCTGCGGGGAGGAAGCTGAAGGCGAGTCGCAGCAGCGTTGGCAGGCACAGAAGGGAAAGGAGCGGCGGTGCTGGCAGTGCTGGCGGTGGCGGTGTTGACTTTGCTGCCATGGCTGCTGCTGCATCTGGTGTGGGAGACGCTGCTCGAGGGGCAGGGCGTAAGGTACGGCCTTGTGTGTGTAAGGTACGACCTTGTGTGTGTAAGGACGTACGGGCGTAAGGGCGTAAGGACGACCCTTTGTGCGTATTTTTGCAACTGTGAAGCGTGTTTGTCGTGAACCGTATTTTTGCAACTGTCGTGTACGTGGGTTTGCCAGCCCTCAATCGCTTCTTTTCTCAGCTTTCCTCTTCCCTCTATGTCCATCTTCCTTCTGCTTCCCTCCTCTCTGCGTCCCTCCTTCCTCCACTCCCCCCCTCCTCATCTCCATCCATCTTCTGTCCGTCCCCACTCCTCCTGTGAACATCAGAGTGCAGCAGCAATGGAGATAGAGCAGATGCGGGTGCAGGCAAAGGAGGCGGAAACAGCCAGGCTGAATGCAGAGAGGCGGCTGCTGCAGATGCGCGTGCAGGCCCAGGCAGGGCGGGGGGAGGCGGCTACTGAGGCGAGCCCATGGGGAGGGAGGGGGGATGAGGGGGCAGGGCAGGTGAGGGGAGAGGGTGGAGTGGCAAGGTGTGGGAGCGAGGGAGAAGGGAGTGGGCAGTCACAATACAGCTATGAGCTGGCGCAGTCGCAGAAAGAATTTGAAGCTGCCCGGATGAAGCTGGCCTCAGTGGAAGCAGCTTTGGCCCGGGCAGCGGGCAGAACGAAGCAGGAAGATGGTGGAGAGAGAGGAGCAGGAGGAGCAGGGTCAGGAAGGCGAACGGGGCAATCGGGGTTGTCTGTCAGTGGTGGTGGCGGCAGCAGAGGTGGTAAAGCAGGGGGAGCAGAGGCGTCAGTTGCAGCGGCGGCGGCTGCGGCAGCAGCAGCGGCACAGAGGCTAGCGCACAGAGGAGGCAACCCGCACCAGAGATTCGAGCAAGGGACCAGAGAAGGCCTAAGATGGGGGGAGACAGGAAATGGGAGGGAAGAGGATGAGGGGCAGGAGAGCGGGGAGGAAGACGAGGAAGAGGAGGAAGAGGAGGAGGAAGAAGGAGAGGAGGAGGAAGGGGAGGAGGATGACGAGTTGCAGATTGATATATTGAGTGCGGCTGGGAGTGGTGTGGTTGGGTTCATAGATGGATCCTCCTCCACATTTGACCTAAGCTCCCTATCCCCTCGCTCACTCCACGGCGCAGACTCAAACAGCCGCCCACCCTCTGCCAACACCCGTGGCCTAACCAAAAAACAGCAACATTCCCAAAATAGCAACCTTTCCTTTACTGGAGGTTTTGAGGGCTCTTCCAGCGATCTCCAGGTCGACCTTTTGGGCGGCAGCTCGCTGGGTATGGACAAGGGAACGGGCGGCGCAGAGGGCGGGGAGCAGCCAGATGATGACGTGGATTTGTCTCTTTCCATGTCAGAGCTCCAGATCGACCTGCTTAGCCCTGGAGAGAACATGAGGAGGGGGGATAAGCATGAGAAGGAGCAGGAGGAGTGGAAGCGGGGAAAAGAGAGGGGTGGAGGGGAGTTGGGAGAGGTACAGGAAGATGAGGAGGAGCTTGATTTAGGGCTTAGTCTGGTGGGGGGCTCTGAGCAGGATGTGTTTGGAGATAATGGCAGGGGCAGGGAGGGTGGCGACAGCAATGGTGGTAGCGGCAGCGGCAGTGGCAGCAGGGGTAGTGGCAGTGGGAGTGGCAGCAGGGTTAGCGGTAGTAGTGGGAGTGTGGGTGAGATTGTTGAGGAGAGGGAGAGGGAGGGGCAAGGGAGGGGAGAGGCGAAGGAGAAGGGAGGGGAGGGAGAAGGGAAGGGTAAAAGAGCTGGAGCTGTGAAGCATGTGATTGGTCGAGGGCAATACCGTGTGTACAGTTATGAAGAGATTCAGGTGGGTTGCCTCTAAGGTGGGTTGCCTCTAAGGTGGGTTGCCTCTAAGGTGGGTGGGGTGATGGGAGGATAAACGGGTTGGACGTTTAGGACGTTCAACAGCATGTGATTGGTCGAGGGCAGTACCGTGTATACAGCTATGAAGAGATTCAGGTGGGTTGACTCTGAGGGCAGATGGGGTGAATCTGAATCCACATAGCTTCAGATTCAGGTGGGTTGAACCTAAGCCGAATGGGGGTTGTTTTGAGGCGCCTAGAATACGATTGGGCGAGGGCAGTACCGTGTGTACAGTTATGAAGAGATTCAGGTGGGTTAACACTTGGAGCGGAAGGGGTGAAATTGTGGTCAGTTGGGTAAACTTGATTCCCAGATGCAGGGTCTTCGAATCTCTATGAGCGAGTTTACCATCTATATGCACCTCTTCAAGCACAGTTCCTGTTTCTCCCCCATCACAGGCCGCAACGGACAACTTCAACCAGAAGAACCGGCTGGGCGAGGGCGCGTTTGTAGCAATAGCTCATAGATGGTGCACGTCTTACACCAGATTCCTGTTTCCCTCCCCGTCACCCCACTCACAGGCTAGGGGGCGTTTGTAGGCCGTTCCTCAGGGACAGCTCCTGGGAACACCTTGTTCCTCTTCCTCCCCCCGTCACCTGCTCACAGGCCGCAACGGACAACTTCAATTAGAAGAACCGGCTGGGCGAGGGCGCGTTTGGGGGCAGTTTTTCAGAAACAGTTTGTTACAATTTTATATCGTATTTCTCTTCTTCCTCCCCTCGTCACCCCGCTCACAGGCCGCAACGGACAACTTCAACCAGAAGAACCGACTGGGCGAGGGCGCGTTTGGCACGGTGTATGGGGGGCGGCTGCACCACACTCGTGTGGCCGTGAAGGTGCTTAAAGCCACAGACGTGGTCAAAGCCACCAACGAGTTCCAGCAGGAGGTGAGACAGTGGGAGGGGGAGTGCGATGGGAGTGAGGGGTAAAGTGAACCACACGCGCGTGGCGGTGAAGGTGCTTAAAGCCACAGACGTGGTCAAGGCCACCAACGAGTTTCAGCAGGAGGTGCGATGCAGGAGGGGGTGGAAGGGGTGGAGGGGGTGCGGGGGAAGGTGCTTAAAGCCACAGACGTGGTCAAGGCCACCAACGAGTTCCAGCAGGTGAGGTAGAGGTGGGTTGTTGGGGGGCAAAAGCGGGGACGGCTTATGGTCATCAGTTTCTCCCATCAGTTTCCCCATCAGGTTCCCCATCAGGTTCCCCATCAGGTTCCCCATCAGGTTCCCCATCAGTTTCCCCCATCAGTTTCCCCATCAGTGTCCCCATCAGTTTCCCCATCAGTTTCCCCATCAGGTTCCCCATCAGGTTCCCCATCAGTTTCCCCATCAGGTTCCCCATCAGGTTCCCCATCAGTTTCCCCATCAGGTTCCCCATCAGTTTCCCCATCAGTTTCCCCCATCAGTTTCCCCATCAGTTTCCCCATCAGTTTCCCCATCAGTTTCCCCATCAGCTTCCCCATCAGTTTCCCCATCAGTTTCCCCCATCAGTTTCCCCATCAGGTTCCCCATCAGGTTCCCCATCAGTTTGCCCCATCAGTTTCCCCATCAGTTTCCCCATCAGTTTCCCCATCAGTTTCCCCATCAGTTTCCCCATCAGGTTCCCCATCAGTTTCCCCATCAGGTTCCCCATCAGGTTCCCCATCAGGTTCCCCATCAGTTTCCCCATCAGGTTCCCCATCAGGTTCCCCATCAGTTTCCCCCATCAGTTTCCCCATCCGTTTCCCCATCAGTTTCCCCATCAGTTTCCCCATCAGGTTCCCCATCAGGTTCCCCATCAGGTTCCCCATCAGGTTCCCCATCAGTTTCCCCATCAGGTTCCCCATCCGTTTCCCCATCAGTTTCCCCATCAGGTTCCCCATCAGTTTTCCCATCAGTTTCCCCATCAGGTTCCCCATCAGGTTCCCCATCAGGTTCCCCATCAGGTTCCCCATCAGGTTCCCCATCAGGTTCCCCATCAGGTTCCCCATCAGGTTCCCCATCAGTTTCCCCATCAGTTTCCCCATCAGTTTCCCCATCAGGTTCCCCATCAGGTTCCCCATCAGGTTCCCCATCAGGTTCCCCATCAGTTTCCCCCATCAGTTTCCCCATCAGTGTCCCCATCAGTTTCCCCATCAGTTTCCCCATCAGGTTCCCCATCAGGTTCCCCATCAGTTTCCTCATCAGGTTCCCCATCAGGTTCCCCATCAGTTTCCCCATCAGGTTCCCCATCAGTTTCCCCATCAGGTTCCCCATCAGTTTCCTCATCAGTTTCCCCATCAGGTTCCCCATCAGTTTCCTCATCAGGTTCCCCATCAGTTTCCCCATCAGTTTCCCCATCAGGTTCCCCATCAGGTTCCCCATCAGGTTCCCCATCAGGTTCCCCATCAGGTTCCCCATCAGTTCATGGCCAGCGGCACTCTCCCCCCCACTCTCGAGGAGCGCCTGCTCTGCTACTGGCCCCAACACGTGGTGGTGCTACTGGGCTGCTGCCTGCCCCCCAACCGCACGACAGCTCTCTGCTCTGCTCCCTCTCTGACGCTCCTCCTCTCTCTCCCTCCCCCCAATCTCACAGGTGGAGGTGCTAAGCCAGATCCAACACCCGCACGTGGTGATGCTGCTCGGCTGCTGTCCGTCGCACCACTGCATAGTGTACGAGTTCATGGCCAGCGGCACTCTCGAGGAGCGCCTGCTCTGCGCCAACAACTCGCCGCCCCTCCCCTGGTTCGCCCGCCTCCGCATCGCCGCTGAAGTCGCCTCCGCGCTCCTCATTCTCCACGCGCGCCCCATCCCCATCGTGCACCGCGACTTAAAGCCCGCCAACATCCTTCTAGATAAGAACCTCGTAGCGAAGCTTGGCGATGTGGGGCTGGCAAAGCTGATGCCGGGAACAGGGTCGCAGGTGCACACACACGCGCATGATTCCGTGCCTGTGGGGACTCTGGCTTACGTCGACCCGGAGTTTCAGCGAACGGGGGACTACGGGCCGAAATCCGATGTGTACGCGCTCGGGATTATTTTGTTCGATATTCTGACCGGGCGCAAGCCGACGACTTATGAGGAGTTAGAGGAGGCTGTGGATGAGGGGGACGAGGAAGCTTTTGGGAAGCTTCTGGATGAGAGGGGGGGCGAGTGGCCGATAGGGTTGGCCATGGAGGTGGCAAGGATGGCAGTGCGGTGCAGTGAGATGCGGAGGAAGAAACGGCCGGATCTGGAGAGTGAGGTGATGCCGCTGCTGGCGCGGGCGAGGGATGAGGCTGCAGAGGCAGAGGAAGCTGCCGGGAAGGAGGGTGGGCGGTCGGGAGGGAGCGGGGATGTGCCCAAGGGGTTGCTGTGCCCGATCAACAAGGTGGGTGAAGGCTTTGGGAGGAATGGTATTTGTTTTTTAGAATTCTCAAAAAACAGATTTGGGAGGGAGTGGGGATGTGCCCGAGGGGTTGCTGTGCCCGATCAACAAGGTGGGTGGGTTGGGAACTTGGTAAGGCTCTGAAAGGAAGGGGTCCTGGAAAAGGCTTGAGTGTGCAGGTTGGTTGGGAGGAAGAGAGCCTTGGGAGTGCAGGCATGGCGTTACATGCCAAGCATGGTTGTGGGTGATGTGGGCATGCGGCATGACTATGTTTCACCACCCCTGGTTGCGCTGCTTGTCCTACACATCTCCATAACAACCCATCTAATCTTTCCTTGTACACTTGTCCATGCAGAAAATAATGGTGGAGCCGGTGTTAGCAGCAGATGGGTACACTTACGAGAAAGCAGCCATTCAAATGTGGTTGGAGCGAGCCGACCTATCCCCCATAACCAACGAGCCAATGCCTCACAAGCACCTCATGCCGAACCTCGTGGTTCGGGATTTGATAGCTGACTGGACCAAGAAGAATGTAAAGACTGAAGCTTGAGTTGGGAAAAGTGAATTCGGCGAGTGCCCACACTTTCACACTTTCAGATCAGAAGAGAGAATTTAGATATGTGTGGGATTTAGCCACTATCTGTCCATACTTGTTCAGTTAATCAAGGTGGCACTTGTGGATGCTCTGATCTTTTTCTGTAATTATGATATTTAAACAGGTTAGGTGGAGGTGACTCCTACTGTACGATTATTACAGTAACGTAACGACGGAAGAAAACCCAGAACGAGTAAAGCCAACTTCTTAGCCCCCGCGCCAACCTTTGCCAACCCTCTTCCCCTCTTCCCGCGCAACCCGTCAAAACCCACCAGCTGGCTGCGCAGCTACAGAGAATCCCCCCAAACCTCAGGCCAGCCACATTCAAATCATTTCCACCCCAGCTCACCGCACCTCGTCCCATTCCACCGCACGTTTAGCTCTCCGCCTACTAATGTCGCATCGCAGCTCTCGCACGCCACACCAGGAGGGAGTAAAGTCAAACCATGATGACTTGACGTGACCTGTCAAATCAAATATCGTTTGAAATTCGTCCCAGCCTCCCGCAAATGGCGGCGCAGTAAGCTCTCTCCTCCATACCCTCCTAACGTGTATTTATTTCCTGTATTTCACGACGGCGCTGCAGCTACCGCGCTCAGCTAGGTTCTCGTTTCTTAGGCAGGTCGCTCGCAACGTCAGCATTCAGCCATCCTCATCCCCACTCCACTAGCCTCTGCGGCCCGCATTTGAGCCAGAGCTTTGAGCATTTCTCTACATTATTTTAGGCGCACCCGAAATCGTTTCCGTCGGCCTCGCTCACCTCTCGACCTTCCGTTTAGTGCTGCGCCGTGCATTATTGCGGCAGGGTTTCGTTGTGCCTGTCGACGAACCAACGGCGAATCCGAACCGTCCAATGCGTTGCTGAGATCTCCGCATGTCGCGCTTGCCTTGCCCCACTGTAGCAGCCTCGACCAATGGGCGTCAAGCTTCAGATTCAGCTTCTCGAGGCGCGCGGCCTGCCGCCCAAGGACAATGGCGGCGCGAGAGACGCGTTCGCGCGGCTCCAGATGGGCGCCTCGAAGGCGCGGAGCAGCACTGTACCTAAGGACAACGATCCGACGTGGCAAGAGGAGTTTTTCTTTTCGGTCAGCGACGCGGAAAAGGACGAACTGCTGGTGACGGTGTGGGACAAGAGCGCCTTCCTGGGGGAGGAATTTCTCGGGCAGCTTGTGCTGCCCGTGCGACAGGTGCTGGCGTGCGACGGCTACGAGCTGCAGGCGACGTGGTTTCCGTTACAGAACAGGCTCGCGCGACCGCGCGCGACGGTTACAGGCGACGTTCTGATTTCCGCCAGCCTGTGGGGGGTTTCGTCGTTAGTGGCGGAATCCGCCTCCCCCTCCACTTTGCCATCCAGCCCAATCCTTCCGCCCACTCCTCCCCTCTCCGCCCCTTCCGCTTCCCCGTCTACTTCCCCCCTCGCCGCGCCTTCCCCCGCGCCTTCCCCCTCCCTCATCTCTACAGTCAGCTTCGCCTTTCCTAAACCTTCTTCCGCCCATCCCCTTTCCGCCCCCACTCCCCCTTCCGCCACTCCCCGTTCCGCCACTCCCCCTTCCGCCTCTCCCCCTTCCGCCCCTCCCCCTTCCGCACCTTCCCCGTCCGCCCCCGCCTTTTCTCTCCCCCTCAAGCCCGCGCTGCGCCGCCATACAGGCCCGTCCGATACAGTCGCACCTGCTGCTCTCTCCCCGTGCAAGGAAACGGACGAGGGGGAAGCGTGGGGCGGTGGGGGGAAGGAGGGACGGGGAGACGGGGCAACGGAAGGGGAAGGAGGAGGCGAAGGAGGAGCGGAAGGGGAAGAGGTAGGGGAGGAGAACGGGGAAGGGGAAGTAGAGGGGGAAGGGGAGGGGGAAAGGGAAGGCCATGAGGCATCCGCTGACCTTCAAGGTAAAGAGGAGGAGGGCGCGAACGGCACAACAACAGCAGCAGCACCGGCAGCAGCAGCCGTCGCTAAGCCGCGGCACCAGATCCTCCAGTCGCTCTCCGAGTCCTTAAAGCCCAAGCCGCAGCAGCTGCAGCAGCTGAAGCAGCGCCTGCATGCGTCCAAGCTATCCGCAGCCTCAGCCATCAGGTCATTCGGGCACGCCGTTGAGAACAGCGTTGCCAAGGCCGGGCAGACCGTGCGTGCCGCCAACGCCAAGGGCGGTGGGGGTGGGGGTGCGGCCGGGGCGACTGCACATGCACGTGAAGGGGGAGATGAGGGGGAGGGGGAGTCGCGGAGAGGGTCACTGGGGGAGGGTGACGGGGCGAGCGGAGGAGGGAGTGGGGAGTCCGGGGAAGGGGGTACGGGGGAAGCGGGGAAGGTGAAGGTGCCGGGGGTGTGGTGGGAGCAGGATATGAGGGACGTGCCCAGTGCAGGGCCCATGCCGGGTGAGCTACCTGGTGGCGGAGTGCTGGTGGACCAGGCCTTTGATGCCGCCCCACACGTGCTCTTTGCGGCCATCTTCAAGCCCGGCTCGCCCTTCTTCCAAGAGTTTGCAAATGGTGCGTTTTGAGTTTTGAGCTGATTCAAAAAACTTGGTGGCGGTGGTGCTGGTGGAGCAGCCTTTGATGCCGCCCCACACGTGCTCTTTGCTGCTATCTTCAAGCCCGACTCGCCCTTCTTCCAAGAGTTTGCTGCAGGTGCGTGCTGACTTTTGAGCCGCAAGGTGCTTTTGAGATGTCTCAAAGACACCATTCTGGGGGAACTAGTTGGCGGTGTGCTGGTTGAGCGTTCGTTTGATGCCGCCCCGCACGTACTCTTTGCTGCTATCTTCAAGCCCGACTCGCCCTTCTTCCAGGAATTCGCCACTGGTGCGTGTTGAGTTCTGAGCTGACTCAAAAAGACTTGCGATTTAGGTTGTGTCCCACGTCTCTCCCGTTGTTGCGTCTATCCCCAATGGCGTCACACATCTCCCCGCCCGCATTATCCCATCTCTCTCCATTATCTCATCTCTCCCCCCATTGTCCCAACTCTACCCATTATCACAACCCTTTTGATGTGTTGAAGTCGACTCAACAACCCCAGTTTCCCCAACCTCCCCCCTTCTTCCTAACAGAGCGCAAGCTGACTCAAGTCAACATTGGTCCTTGGTTTTTCGCCGACAGCAGCAGCAGCAGCAGTCACAGTGCAGCAAGGCTCAATCGCAGCACAGCACACAAGGGCATCAAGCCTCCCACCAACCTGCCTCCCGCTGCTGCTCCCAAAGGGGGCGGAGGGGCGGAACAGCAGCAGGAAGACACAGGCACCGTGATGCACCGCACTGTATCGTACATGACCGCGCCGTCCTCCTTGGTAAAATCAGTGCAAGCGACAGAGGAGGTGCTGTGTGTGCGGGCAGATGCGGGCGGTTTCCTGGTGGCTGTGACAGCGAAAACCCCTGACGTGCCGTATGGAGGCACGTTCGAAATACACCTTCAGTTGTGCATCACTCCGCTTACAGAGGAGGGTGTGGGCGCAGGAGGAGGAGCAGGAGAAGGAGGGAACACAGGCGAGCAGAGCAGTAGAGTCCCGGCTTCTGCAGCAGCTGGTGATGGGAGAGAGACAGGTGCAGAGGGGTCAGGCAGTGGGATGAAGAGCCGGCTGCGAGTGTCGTATGAGCCGCATTTCCTGCAGAGCACCATGATGAAAGGCATGATAGAGAACGGCATGCGCACCGGCCTCAAGGAGTCATACGCCACCTTCCTCTCTGTGAGTGTCCTTTTAAGAGTCGGCTGCGAGTGTCGTATGAGCCGCACTTCCTGCAGAGCACCATGATGAAAAGCATGATCGAGAATGGCATGCGCACCGGCCTCAAGGAATCCTACGCCACCTTCCTCTCTGTGAGTGTCCTTTTGAGGCGCTTCCTGCCTCGTCTCGTCTCACTTGTGAGCCGCATTTCCTGCAGAGCACCATGATGAAAGGCATGATTGAGAATGGCATGCGCACTGGTCTCAGGGACTCTTAGACCACCTTCCTCTCTGTGAGTGCGAAATAGGTTGTTCTTGATGCGTATGCACACTCAGATGCAGATCAACTCTTGGTCCTGCTTGCATTGCTGCTCTGTAGCTTTGCCTTCCTCAGTTCAACCTTCCACGCCTGCTCTCCCAAGGCCGCTCAGTTCTCGAAATCCCACATTTTGCCTCTCTCCTGTCTGCCTCTCTCTCTCTCTCCCGTTTGCCATTTGTGTTGACTTCTCCATCTACTCCTTCTCCCCTACATCCCCTCACTCCCCCCCCCCCCCCCCCCCCCGCAAAAACTCTCTCTCAGGTACTCACAAAGCACGTGCCTCCCTTCGTCTCCACTGCACCATCCACCTCCCTCTCCCAACCCTCAACCTCCCCTCCTCCCTCCTCCCCACTCGGCCGTCTCCTCTCCCGCCTCGGCGTCCCCCCCCACCTCATCCCGTCAAAAACGGCAATCGCCGAGGCTGCACTCCGGGCAACAGGCCCACTTGCGCTCTTTGTCTTTTTCCTCGCAGTGGTCTTGCTACCTACACACCTGGTGCTGGTGGCACGGGGTGGGGCGGGGGTGGTGCTGCCGCTACTAGACCTTCCTGATAGCCTGTTGGAGCTGCTATGGTGTGCCGTGATCCTGGTTGCAACCAACCATGTGGTTGCCATGGCACGAGGCATCATTGTATCAAAATACATCAAGAGTGAGTGATGGGGTAGCAAGGGAAGAGGGCGGTGGGGGTGGTGGAAGGGCAGAGCAATGGAGGGGAGAGCATCATAAAGCCGCACGCTCATCAAATGCGCTTGTCTCAATATCCCTTCTCTCCCTTTCCCCCTGCTACCATCCCTCTGTATAACTCAGAGGGCGACCACGGGAAGAAGGCGGTGGGGGAGGGGTGGCTGCTGACAGTATCGCTAGTCGAGGGGGAGAGCATAGGGGATGCAGGCGTGGTGATGAAGGCGGACCCCTTTGTGGTCTTTGCTTGCAGCGGCAAGACGCGCACCAGCTCTGTGAAGCTGCAGACCAACATGCCCAAGTGGAACGGTGAGTGCAAACCAGGACAGTAGAGGGGGAGAAGAGGTGAGCTAGCAGCAGTGTCACTGGTGGAGGGGGAGAGCGTAGGGGACGCGGGTGTGGTGATGAAGGCGGACCCCTTCGTGGTCTTTGCTTGCAGCGGCAAGACTCGCACCAGCTCTGTGAAGCTGCAGACCAACACGCCCAAGTGGAACGGTGAGTGCAGGGGAGGTGTGAGAGCAGAGCAGAGCAGGTCTGTCTGAGTGCAGAGCAGGTCTGTCTGAGAGCAGAGCAGGTCTGTCTGAGTGCAGAGCAGGTCTGTCTGAGTGCAGAGCAGGTCTGTCTGAGTTGCAGAGCAGGTCTGTCTGAGAGCAGAGCAGGTCTGTCTGAGTGCAGAGCAGGTCTGTCTGAGAGCAGAGCAGGTCTGTCTGAGTGCAGAGCAGGTCTGTCTGAGTGCAGAGCAGGTCTGTCTGAGTGCAGAGCAGGTCTGTCTGAGTGCAGAGCAGGTCTGTCTGAGAGCAGAGCAGGTCTGTCTGAGTGCAGAGCAGGTCTGTCTGAGAGCAGAGCAGGTTTGTCTGAGAGCAGAGCAGGTCTGTCTGAGTGCAGAGCAGGTCTGTCTGAGTGCAGAGCAGGTCTGTCTGAGAGCAGAGCAGGTCTGTCTGAGAGCAGAGCAGGTCTGTCTGAGTGCAGAGCAGGTCTGTCTGAGAGCAGAGCAGGTCTGTCTGAGTGCAGAGCAGGTCTGTCTGAGTGCAGAGCAGGTCTGTCTGAGTGCAGAGCAGGTCTGTCTGAGTGCAGAGCAGGTCTGTCTGAGAGCAGAGCAGGTCTGTCTGAGTGCAGAGCAGGTCTGTCTGAGAGCAGAGCAGGTCTGTCTGAGAGCAGAGCAGGTCTGTCTGAGAGCAGAGCAGGTCTGTCTGAGTGCAGAGCAGGTCTGTCTGAGAGCAGAGCAGGTCTGTCTGAGTGCAGAGCAGGTCTGTCTGAGTGCAGAGCAGGTCTGTCTGAGTGCAGAGCAGGTCTGTCTGAGTGCAGAGCAGGTCTGTCTGAGAGCAGAGCAGGTCTGTCTGAGTGCAGAGCAGGTCTGTCTGAGAGCAGAGCAGGTCTGTCTGAGAGCAGAGCAGGTCTGTCTGAGAGCAGAGCAGGTCTGTCTGAGAGCAGAGCAGGTCTGTCTGAGAGCAGAGCAGGTCTGTCTGAGTGCAGAGCAGGTCTGTCTGAGAGCAGAGCAGGTCTGTCTGAGAGCAGAGCAGGTCTGTCTGAGTGCAGAGCAGGTCTGTCTGAGTGCAGAGCAGGTCTGTCTGAGAGCAGAGCAGGTCTGTCTGAGAGCAGAGCAGGTCTGTCTGAGTGCAGAGCAGGTCTGTCTGAGTGCAGAGCAGGTCTGTCTGAGTGCAGAGCAGGTCTGTCTGAGTGCAGAGCAGGTCTGTCTGAGTGCAGAGCAGGTCTGTCTGAGAGCAGAGCAGGTCTGTCTGAGAGCAGAGCAGGTCTGTCTGAGTGCAGAGCAGGTCTGTCTGAGAGCAGAGCAGGTCTGTCTGAGTGCAGAGCAGGTCTGTCTGAGTGCAGAGCAGGTCTGTCTGAGTGCAGAGCAGGTCTGTCTGAGTGCAGAGCAGGTCTGTCTGAGAGCAGAGCAGGTCTGTCTGAGTGCAGAGCAGGTCTGTCTGAGAGCAGAGCAGGTCTGTCTGAGAGCAGAGCAGGTCTGTCTGAGTGCAGAGCAGGTCTGTCTGAGTGCAGAGCAGGTCTGTCCTGTAGTGCAGAGCAGGTCTGTCTGAGTGCAGAGCAGGTCTGTCTGAGTGCAGAGCAGGTCTGTCTGAGATGCAGAGCAGGTCTGTCTGAGTGCAGAGCAGGTCTGTCTGAGAGCAGAGCAGGTCTGTCTGAGTGCAGAGCAGGTCTGTCTGAGAGCAGAGCAGGTCTGTCTGAGAGCAGAGCAGGTCTGTCTGAGAGCAGAGCAGGTCTGTCTGAGTGCAGAGCAGGTCTGTCTGAGAGCAGAGCAGGTCTGTCTGAGTGCAGAGCAGGTCTGTCTGAGTGCAGAGCAGGTCTGTCTGAGTGCAGAGCAGGTCTGTCTGAGTGCAGAGCAGGTCTGTCTGAGAGCAGAGCAGGTCTGTCTGAGTGCAGAGCAGGTCTGTCTGAGAGCAGAGCAGGTCTGTCTGAGAGCAGAGCAGGTCTGTCTGAGAGCAGAGCAGGTCTGTCTGAGAGCAGAGCAGGTCTGTCTGAGAGCAGAGCAGGTCTGTCTGAGTGCAGAGCAGGTCTGTCTGAGAGCAGAGCAGGTCTGTCTGAGAGCAGAGCAGGTCTGTCTGAGTGCAGAGCAGGTCTGTCTGAGTGCAGAGCAGGTCTGTCTGAGTGCAGAGCAGTCTGTCTGAGAGCAGAGCAGGTCTGTCTGAGAGCAGAGCAGGTCTGTCTGAGTGCAGAGCAGAGGTCTGTCTGAGTGCAGAGCAGGTCTGTCTGAGTGCAGAGCAGGTCTGTCTGAGTGCAGAGCGGTACTGTCTGAGTGCAGAGCAGGTCTGTCTGAGAGCAGAGCAGGTCTGTCTGAGAGCAGAGACAGGTCTGTCTGAGTGCAGAGCAGGTCTGTCTGAGAGCAGAGCATGTCTGTCGAGAGCAGAGCAGGTCTGTCTGAGAGCAGAGGCAGGTCTGTCTGAGTGCAGAGCACGGTCTGTCTGAGCGCAGAGCAGGTCTGTCTGAGAGCAGAGCAGGTCTGTCTGAGTGCAGAGCAGGTCTGTCTGAGAGCAGAGCAAGGTCTGTCTGAGTGCAGAGCAGGTCTGTCTGAGTGCAGAGCAGGTCTGTCTGAGTGCAGAGCAGGTCTGTCTGAGTGCAGAGCAGGTCTGTCTGAGTGCAGAGCAGGTCTGTCTGAGAGCAGAGCAAGGTCTGTCTGAGTGCAGAGCAGGTCTGTCTGAGAGCAGAGCAGGTCCTGTCTGAGTGCAGAGCAGGGTCTGTCTGAGTGCAGAGCAGGTCTGTCTGAGTGCAGAGCAGGTCTGTCTGAGTGCAGAGCAGGTCTGTCTGAGTGCAGAGCAGGTCTGTCCTGAGAGCAGAGCAGGTCTGTCTGAGAGCAGAGCAGGCTGTCTGAGAGCAGAGCAGGTCTGTCTGAGAGCAGAGCAGGTCTGTCTGAGAGCAGAGCAGGTCTGTCTGAGAGCAGAGCAGGTCTGTCTGAGAGCAGAGCAGGTCTGTCTGAGTGCAGAGCAGGTCTGTCTGAGATGCAGGCAGGTCTGTCTGAGAGCAGAGCAGGTCTGTCTGAGAGCAGAGCAGGTCTGTCTGAGAGCAGAGCAGGTCTGTCTGAGTGCAGAGCAGGTCTGTCTGAGAGCAGAGCAGGTCTGTCTGAGTGCAGAGCAGGGTCTGTCTGAGTGCAGAGCAGGTCTGTCTGAGTGCAGAGCAGGTCTGTCTGAGTGCAGAGCAGGTCTGTCTGAGTGCAGAGCAGGCTGCTGAGTGCAGACAGGTGGGGGCGCTTTGGGAGGTCTCAAAGGCCATGGAGGACGCTCCTTCCAATTTCGACATTGAGCTCATTCGAACAACACTGATTTAACTTTCCGCTCCCACCCCCCGACTCCCTCAACCCCCCCCACCCACCACCAGAGGTGCTCGAATTCGATGCTATGGAGGACACGCCTTTCCATCCTCGACATCAAGCTTATTCAGAGAACCCTTTTTTTAATCCATTGTCTCCTTCCTTCCCCTCCTCCCATCCCTCCTCCAACCATCCTCAAACCCCAACCTCACATCACCAGAGGTGCTCGAATTCGACGCCATGGAGGACGCGGCTTCCATTCTCGAGATCCAGCTCACTCAAAGAGCTCTTCTTCAATCCAGAGTCTCATTCCTTACCTTACCCTCCTCCCACCATTCCCCCCTCCCTCCCACACCAACCAGAGGTGCTCGAGTTTGACGCCATGGAGGACGCGCCTTCCATTCTCGAGATCGAGGTTTTCAACTACGACGGACCCTTCTCGGAACCTTCCCTGCTCGGCCGGGCAGAAATAAACTTCCTCCGGCAGTCGGCGCAGGACCTCGCGGACCTCTGGGTGCCGCTAGAGGGCAGGCGGGCGAAAGTTCAAGCTGCCCGGATCCACGTTCGAGTGCTTCTGACCAATACCTCTGAAGCTGCGGCTCCTCTGGTGCTTCAGAAGATTAGCAAGGAAGTGGGCAGCAAGGTGAGGGGGGAAGATGAGGGAATGATTGACTGGATGAATGGGTGAGTTTTAGAAGGACTCCCGTTTTCTGCTTCTCACCCCCTCCTGCAAGAAAGAACTCCTTACAGCTAGCCACTTACCTTAATCTACTCTTGCCTCCCCCTCCCCTTCCCCATCCCCCTCCCCCTCCCTTTCTCCCCCTCCCCCTCGCCCCACCAGGGTGGCGTGATGGGAGTTTTCATTGCAGAAGAACCTGGCCTTCCAGCGCCTGTTTGATGTGCCAGACAGCGAGTGCCTCATAAACGACTTCTCCCCCACTCCCTCCCCCTCCCTTCCCCCACTCCCCTCCCCCTCGCCCCACCAGGGCGGTGTGAGGGAGTTTTCATTGCAGAAGAACCTGGCCTTCCAGCGGCTGTTTGATCTGCCTCGTCGCCGTGCCTTCAGCCAACTTTTTTTTTACCCTCCCCCCCTCTTCCCCCTCCCCCTCGCCCCACCAGGGCGGTGTGAGGAGTTTTCCTTGCAGAAGAATCTGGCGTTTCCAGTGGCTGTTCGACCTACCGGACAGCGAGTGCCTCATAAACGACTTCTCCTGCATTCTCAGGAAAGGGCTGCTCTGCTCTCCCAGGGCCGCCTTCACAGGGGCGCCTCTTCCTCTCCCCGTCCCCCTCCCCGTGGACACTTGCATCAAACTCACCCTCCTCTTCCGTCCCCCCACCTTCCCCCCCCTCTCTCCCCTTTCCCCACTCCCTTCCCCCTCGCCCCACCAGGGGGGTGTGAGGGAGTTTTCATTGCAGAAGAATCTGGCCTTTCAGCGCCTGTTCGACCTACCAGACAGCGAGTGCCTCATAAACGACTTCTCCTGCATCCTCAAGAAAGGGCTGCTCCTCCCAAGGCCGCCTCTTCCTCTCCCCGCGCCTCCTCGCCTTCTACTCTTCTGTCTTTGGCACGCGCATCAAATTCACTCTCCTCTGGGAAGACATAGACGAGATTGACGACAGCGTGCCGTCTCTCTTCGACCAAAAGGAGTCCCAAAAAGATGCCAAGTCTCAAACGGCCCAGGCTTCATTGACTAGGTCGCAACCGATCAAGACTCAGACGGCCGCCGCCGCCCAGAAATCCTCCATGACGACCTTCAAGCGCATGCTCAACCCGGCGATCACCGTCTTTGTCAAAAAGGACAAAGGGACGGCGGAAACCCGGGCGGCAGCGCACGGCGTGGACTCGCACGGGCGGCTGAAGATCCGATTCCAGTCGTTTGTCCGGCCAGGTGTGGCCTTCCGTCTCGTCCTTGCCTTATGGCGCAACCGGCAACCTCCCCACTGACCAGACAGCTAGCTAGAGCCAAGGAGGAGGGCGATGCAAGTGACAGTGGCGGGGAGAGAGGCGAGGGTACCAATGTGGGGAGGGACGGGGGAGCTGGGGCAGCGACAGGAGTATCCAGCAAGCAGGAGGCGATTTTTTGGGGGCGAGAGGAGGGATTGGGAGGGTATCGGGAGGTGACCGATTCGAGAAGGGAGGTCTATAGCGGTGGAGGACGGTGGGAGGGGGCGTTTATGGGGGGTGGAGACGCGGGAGGTGATAGATGACCAGCTAGTAGGTGTACCGATCCACAGTGCAGCAGTTCCTGGCCTCGTTTGATGACCCAGCAGCCACTGCTGCCATGATGGAGAAGGCAGGGCAGATGGGTGCGGAGATTGGCGAGTGGGAGGCGGTGGAAGTTGGTATGGGGGACGGGTGGGGCAGCTGGAGGGGCCGGGCGGCGGGAGGCAGAGTGGGCGGCGTTCTTCGGCGCCAGCGCTAGCGTCAAGTACCGATTCTCTCGGCAGGTGAGGGGAAGTGAAGTGGGCCACTGGTCAGGGGCAGGTGAGGGGAAGTGAAGTGGGCCACTGGTCAGGGGCAGGCGAGGGGAAGTGATTCACCTCTTCTTTCTTCCCTTGGCCTCACAACGCCCACCGCCTCACCCCTTCTCATCGCGCAGTCTCTCCCTTCTTGAAGCTATCCGGGGCTAGTGTTGAGCTGTCAGAGCGTTGGTTGGCAACAGTCAGTGGTGGTGCTTTCACTTGGCCCAAGGTAGTTGTCCCACCAGCCGCCCGCCTGTCTCTGTCTAGCCCATCCGTCCCATGACAACCCCCTCCCCCTGTTTGTATCTCAATCAATGCCGGCCACCGGTCAGGGGCCACGCCAGCGAGCGTGTATTCTTCTTCCACCAACAAATCGCCTCCCTGCCTCTCCCATTGCTCCCCTGGGCAGGTCCCTCTCCTCTCCCCAACTGTGACAGCAAGCAGCAGATGAGTTTTGAGAAGTTACGAGTTTTGAGTTTTGAGACGTCTCTAAACCCAACAAATCTCCTCCCTGCCTCTCCCATTGCTCCTCTGGATAGGTCCCTGTCCTCTCCCCAACCGTGACCGCGGTGCAGCAGATGACTCAGGAAGCCAGCACCCCGGGCAGCATCCCGGGCGGCATCTCGGGCGGCACCCCGGGCGGCAGCCAGGACGGCGGTATCCAGTGGGCGTGTTTGGAGCAGGTGCTCACTCTCCACAGAGTCCCCTTCGGCGACAGCTTTCAGGTGAAAACAACAGAAGCTTTCAGGGGGATTAGCAGAATTTTTGTCAGGTGGGTGGAGAGAACGAGTAGTCTGGCGAAACAATCAGGTAGCTTACCAGGTGGCAGGAGCAAGGAGTTGCAGCTGAGGTAGATTTGAGCCTGCTCTATTAACAACTCAAACCCTCTCCCTCTCACCTCCTCAGAACACTCGTCCTCTTCCCTCACCCCTTGCCTCCCCTCGAGTAACCCTGTCAGTTAGAGTTTTTTCAAGAGATCAAGGCCAAGGAGATATTCTCCCTGCCAGGAGCAGCAAGCACGGCAGCAGGTGCAGCAGCAGCAGACGTGGGAGCAGGCAAGAGCAGCGCAGCAGATACGGCCTACTCGTCCTCTAGCCCAGCAGAAGCTGCTGCTAGCGCGGCCAGGGGAGCAGCCGCTGTCGCCTCCGCACTGGTTGCCGCTGCAGGCGCACTCAAACTCACGGCACGCGGGGCAGCAGCAGCAAGCGGTACGGCCACAGGTGACGGAGGAGGAGCAGGTGAGGAGAGAGGAACAGCAGGCGGTACAGCAGGAGCAGCAGGGGGGACGGCATTGGGAGCGAGTGGGTTACAAGAGGGGGTGTTGCAGGATGACAGGGTGCGATCGGTGCTGCACGTGCGAATGGCGATTGCATGGCACAAGGAGCTTAGTGAGGCGACACGCAGCAAGATCAAGAGCAGCATTGGGCGATTCTACAAGCAGCAGGCACGCCGCGTGGTTGAACTCATGGCTGCTCAGGGGACCTGAAAAGGGACGTGCTAGCTGCTGTATGGAGACTTCTTTTGAGATGACTCAAAAGTTGACACGGGCCAAGATCACGAGCAGCATCGGGCGATGCTACAAGCAGCAAGGCTCGGCGCGTGGCGGAGCTTATGGCTGTTCAGGGGACCTGAGAAGGGGACGTGCTAGCTGTTGTATGGAGAGTTCTTTTGAGATGACTCAAAAGTCGACACGGGCCAAGATCATGAGCAGCATTGGCCTATACTAGAAGAAGTAGCAGGCACGCCTGTGGGGAACTTTGAATAATTTCTGATAAAGTCCAAATCATACCTGTGGGGAACTTTGAAGGGGCACTTACCTGAACTGTTACTTGAAAGGACGCCTGAGTGAGAGAGCACCTGAGAGATGCCTGATGGGGCACCTGAGAAACCACATGAAGGCGTACCTTTGGAGTCTGTATGGGACTTGGGAGAGAACACATGGACAAGTGCATCAGCCCGCATGCTGCTGATACCTTGATGCGTGTTTGCATGCATGCGTGCAGTGTGCGCGTGTGCACGCATGTGTAAGGATGAAAGACTTGTCATGGGGAGGCATGTGCCCGAGAGCATGCATGCAAGGCCAAGGAGAGGATGCGCTCACCCATGTAAGGATGCCAATGACCACCCACGCCACGCCAGTGCATGCGTCCCTGGGACGCCCCACCCCTGGGAGCAGCACTTTCAGTACCTGGGATGGACGTCCATTCCACGCCTCTCAGTCCGCCAGGCACCCCCACAAGAGCACACACCACAGGAACACGTTCGTCCGAGGCAGCAGAGGAACAGACTTGCAAGAAGCAAAGAACGATTCTAGGACTGGCCGCACGGCGACCTAGACTGCTTTATCCCCCCCAATAGACCTGGCAGCAACTTACCATGCTTCCGTTGCGACGAAACCGCATGAAGCCTCAGAAGGCGGATCCTCAATCCTCACTCGCACCTTGTTGGAAAGCACGCCAGTGCGTGCTTGGGTCTCAGTCAGGGAGACTCCCGAACCATAGCAGCCAATACAACACAGCAACAAGCAGAGAGGACAGTTCGTCAGAAGCAGAACCGGAAACAGACTCAGGAGAAACAACATTTGA